TGATGCCGACCTTACACGTTGGAATCCGTATATTATGCCGGAGGACAAAGCTGTATTATGCCCTAAGCATAATTGTTGTCTAAACCGAAAGATGATTCCGACCTTACACGTTGGAATCCGTATATTATGCTGGAACATAATTTTTTTACGAAATCCCAAGATTATGCCAAATATTATGCCAGCATAATCCGCCAAAGGCTAATCAATATGACTGTTTTGGGGCCATTTTTTGTTGAAAGCCATTTTTATGACTCTAGAGGGGTCAGGAAGGTGCCGGTATACGCAGGCGCGTGCCCCGTATGGGTTCCTTGGGTGCCCGGATCCCCCCTTTTTTCGCTCAAAATGCAGGATTTAAGTGAGTCGGCTTTGCGCCCTTACCGACCCCCGGCCTGACTCCCTGACCCCCCCCCCCCCCCCCTGACCGACTACTAACTCGCGGATAAAATCAGTGCATCAGTAACAGTACTAAAACTAGAACCTGTCCTACTCCTCCTAGTCCTAGCTCTACAAGACTACAGTCATGTCATGCAAAAGTCGTGGGTTGTCACTGTGATTCAATTACACAATGCCATGTACTTCACACGCAACCGTCCATTGTTTGTTGACCCGACTCTCCCTATATATACCCGGCACACGGTTCCGTTGTCGATCATGCACTAGACTCTAGTCTAGACTATTGTGTCTGTTTATTATTAGTAATATTACTGGGTGACGCGGCATACGCCCAAGTCATGCCTTGTAGTATCGGTATGACTAGTCTTTTGTCTTCGAAACCACGATGTTTTTCCTAAGGATCAAACCACCAGCTGTCAGGGGCCAACATATACCGAGGAGCAACGACTTACGTTGTCGGTCGGAGCAGCAGTTGCCAAAGAGGAACGTAACCAGTTTACAAGACTCGGTTCGCCAAGCCACTGCGTGCAGGCTCGGGCAGGTGCAGTAACGTTATAACATTTTTTTGTATTCTTCGTTTACTGTCCGATGCTGCGCAGTGTGTTACTGTCAGTGTCTGGGCTTCCAAGCCGATCACAGGCCTCCAGAGCCTATTTTGTAGTCCTGGAAATAGTGATCGCGGGGCGACCGTGGGGCGTTCGAGAGGAACGAAGTTTCAGACCCAACGAGGTTTATACTGCCGGGTCTGCGGAAACGAGCCAGAACACGGAGACCGAAGTCTAGAGGAGCAGCTCTGCAGGATAACACTCCCGTGGACTTCACTTTGTCCCAGATAGTGATAATAACCTGCCTGATCTGCAGAGTGGCGGAGCCAAGAGTGCGAATAGATCGCAGCCTTGCTACCCGCGTGCGGAGGCACCGCTGACGCGCGACCACTAAGCTGGTAAGCAACCGTACTCACACACCGCAGATCAACGCCTGCATATTTTCACCATCATCTCGTACCCACACATCGGTCAGCAAGCATGGACGTGAAAGGGTCGACCAGGAAGGTGTTCGGAGTACCTGTGGATCAGCTGGACACGGAGATGCTGCCAGCAGTGGGTGAGGTGGTGGAGCCAGAGATGATACCACCACCATTGAGCCACACCAGTGGCATAGCTGTGGAGCTGCCTACCCTGAACAACCAGGCCGCTGCGCTGCACGTGCCCGTCTGCGAGCTAAGAGCGTTTCGGCAACGCCAGCGTGAAGACACCTGGCTGGGCTGGTACCCACCACCGGTAGACTTTGACTTGCCGCCCGCTGACCCGCCCAACGCTGTTCCGCTGGTGTACTCCTTTGCCCCGGAACAACTCCTCAGAGACCACTTCCACATGCGTATGGCGAGAAGAACAACGTGTCGCCACCTACGTACCGAAAGTCGCACTTTGAATTTCAAGTGCACGATCTACTCTATGCCGTGGGATAAGCCTGAGGAGCAGACGCTGTGCTTGTGCCCGATTGGCACGGAAAACACACCCAACGTGATCTTGGACACGAGGCTGCTGCCGGGCTTTCTGGATGCGCGCACTGTGACAACGCTGTGCCTGAGTGACCAGGGGTACAAGAAAATACCGAAAGTACTCGTCGAGTTCGTTCACCTGGAGGCACTGGTACTGGACAACAATCACATCCGCAAGATTCCCAAGGACGTCCTGGACAATCTCTTCTCTCTGGAGGCCGTGTCCCTTGCCGATAACAACCTACGCAGCGTGGCCCACGTGATCATTCGGTTGCGTGCAATCCCCAGCTTACGCAGTGTTAGTCTGCAGGGAAACCCATGCATGCTGCATGACAAAGAGGAATCAGTGCAGACACCGGATACGCGCATCATCAATGCGCTCCCTTTCCTCCAGCGCCTCAACGGGACGAACATCCTGCCGGGCGCGGTGCCAGCTGACAGCGCCAAGTTTTTTCGTCGCCATTGCCTGTTCGGACGAAGCCAAGCTATCAAGCATCTCTTTCCAGGCCAAGGCATACCGTACAGGCCCATCAACCTGAAGTATGGACTGTACAAACCCTTCTTCAAAGGTTCGAAATCAGATACCGTCCCACTCCCACCTATGGGTAGCTGGGAGTGGCAGCTCTGGCAATGAAGTCAGTGCATGGGGAGAATTTATCCAGAATTCACACCTCGCTTTACTCCTCTTGCTGCTTTCCTGTCTCCCACATCAATGTCTTGATCACTGGCGCATACTTGCGATTTAAAATAGAAAATGCCAACAAGAACAAGAACAACAATAACAACAACAACAACAACAACAACAACAACAACAACAACAACAACAACAACAACTCTTATTGGCGATGGTGCCATCATGGGAATAGAGAATTCAACAAAAATTCAAACAACAACAACATCCGAAGCTGTTCATTCTTCATGCTCTGACCAGCAAGAGCATGTGGGTAGCAGTCGCGATTGCAGTCATGGCTGAAATCCTGCTAGTCATTATGTAAATGTACACTACACAGCTGACGAGGCACGTAAAAGCCATGCACCGGTTAAAGGTTCTTGTGTTTTTGCATTGATTTTTCTTTATCTTACCGGTGCAAGATACATTTTGAGTAACTTCAACATTCCGTTATGCCCTCATTGCTCTTTAGCTTTCTATTGATTGTACTTACTTTGAAGTAGTATATTTACCCCTTTGGAATATCAATAAAATATTTTTAGCCCTTAGCAGAGGTTCACTAGACACCGTACACACCATTCAAGCCATGTTGTCACCACGGTAACATGTTGATCATGATATCCAACCCACTTCATGGAAGTAGCAAAAAGCATCCATTACACCGGGGTTTCCATTTCTGTTGCCGTCTCAGAATGGTCACCTCACCAGCACGCCACGAATCCCGCTCAATGCTCAACACAGATGTCAAGAAAACCCCAACTGTGAGGACAAGCTTGACCCTCTCACCCCCACCCCTCCCCTTCTCAGCATTTCTCGTTTTTGCTTTGTACTTAACATACATTTAGAAGCCAGGGAACAGTAAAATATTGATATTGTAATTATACTTGACAAACTCATTCTGGATTAGATGCGTACTGCTCCACGATGCTGAAGTACCAGCTCTGACGAAGGCTTGCTGACACTAGATAGTACATTAGATAGATAGTGCATTCGGTATGGAGGCTAGGTCACTGTCATTGATAACCAGAGATATGAGCAGAGATATACATCAGGTAGAAGTCAGAGTATGGCCATGGTGCTTACACAGGCTTGTTATATACATCACTATATTTATTATTATCATGACTGTATTCATCTTGGCTCCGCTAACCGTATGGTTAGAGAAGAAGGCAAAAATGCCGGTGTATTCTAATGAAGTAAAATAACAACAAACAAACCGTACACCGAATCATGAGTGTCCATGTATGGGAGTCCTGAGCATTGTGTACTGTACAGCAGTAACTTTGAGTCCTGTGCTTTGTGAATCGTACCACAAGTGCAGCTAACATGAGAAAATTGAACAAAGAACCTGGCTGGTACGCCAGTGTTTGACTGTTGGATGTATGGCTCAGTCCCATCCATCGCAAGTATTCATACCGTAACGTTATGTACAATGTCAGTAGTCTGTCTGAGCAGTAGATGTGATCACTCGAAAATGCACATATATGTATTATGGCATCCCGTATCATGAGGTGAGACTTGAGACACAGCCATTGGCAGAAGTACAGGAACCCCGCTTGCCACATCTGCGCCCCCCCCCCCCCCCCCAGGTAGACTGTGATCTGCACACTCTGGGGTACATTCGGGCCTGGTTTAAATCTGGCTTTGGAAAATTTATTTTTCATTGCTATCACGTTCGGCCTCATTTCTCTGTGCTGTGCTGATGAGTCCACAAAGGACGAAACAGTTCTGTGCGAAGATCGACACTCTGCGTTACATGTATTTTAAACCAAGAAAGATGATCTTTTGGGACCTACATGCACATCGCCGGTGCCTGTTCAGAACTACATCAGTACATGTAGTACGTCTTGGCAGTACTCAGTTTGGATCAACAGGGCAAACAGATCTTCAAGTCTCACTGAAGTCTGCACAACTGTAAACTGAATAACTACACCGTCCACAGCTGCTTCAAAACCGGGAGTTCTTAGCTCTTCCCGATTCTGGAACTTTCAGGGAAGCGCTTCACTTCCCTATATCTCTGCACAGCAAAGCAACTCTCACCTGAGAAGGCCGGGTTATTCAACAGATACAGTAGATGATTTCCTGTAAGGCCAATATACAGTTCTGAATATTACACCTTTACCAGAAGAGAACCAGCTCAGTTTTGATTGATGTCCATAACTAACATGAGAAATTCAACAGCACGAGGAGCTGTCAGCTATCATGACAAAGGACATTGCACCATGTTCTGCACTTCGCTTCTACTCGAAGTAGAAAGTAAAGTTTGAGCAAGGACAGCCCAACTCTCCGGGTCAGAATCCCTTTACTGAGCGGCACTAGCACTATTTGTTCAACACAACTGCCAGTCCTTTCTCTCAGCATGCACTGATCCAATAGATGCCAGCAAGAAGTGTCCTTGGAGTCAAGCAGCACCCAAGCACGCATGGCAAGCACATCTTTCCCCCCTGGCAAAGGCAGGCAACATTTATTGTTTAACTCAAAACACCATAGTGCCACCGAATGCCTGCTTGCACTAAAAAGATCATGTGCCTCTGAAAACAGCAGGCCGGGAAAGTATACTGGCTTAGTGTGAATATACATGGGGCAATGGAGAGAGAAGGGCATGGATATGCTGGCTACGCTAGCTGTATTGCAGAGCAAAGAACGAGCGGCGTGAGGAGGATGTAATCCTATTTGAACATGCTTGTGACTCTGTATGAAAACAATGATGTGTGGGCACGTAGCATCATAAGTTAATACAGATGTAATGGGGCATTACAAAATTATTAATATTAATTTTTCGAAAAATGCGTGATATCCAATAAGATCGCCAGCTATGAGTCCCATCGAGTGGCAGGCAACAGCCTGTGAACATCGTTACCTACCATAGCAAGCACTGGTGTTCTGGATTCATTTCACTTCCTTTGCGGCAATTGAATGCCCTGGCAAAGTTCTCATCATCACTGACCGTACCCAGAACCCTGGATGCACGCAAAGCCAGGATTGGACAGGAGAATAGTGAGCCCGGGTTAGTGGAAGTGATTTTACTGATTTTGGAAGTGATTTTTTTAATAAAGTGATGAAAGTGTTCGTTTGCGCACTGGAGGTGTGCTAGAGGTCTCAGGTCGCTGAATGTCTCAGTAGCATGTCAGTTTTGTGCCCTATTATTGCACTTTCTGACGGTTTATCATCTTGTTAAAGTCATGGATAGTTGCTCCATAACTCGTTCTCATGTGTATTCTTCTCTTTTTTACATTTATTACTGGCTCAGTATCCGAGTTATTATAATTATTAAAATGAATGTTGAAACCGGCCTGTCTCACGAGCATAGCAGATATGCATACATGCTTAAAGCCACCTACCTAAAATTGGTGGGGCTATGCACATCTGTTCTCAGACGAGCCAGAGCGTTTGCTTTGGATGTGATTGAGCACCATGTCTGCACACAGCAAACACACACACACGCGCGCGCGCGCACACACACACACACACACACACACACACACACACACACACACACATACACACGAGTTGAACATTCACTTGATGAGAAGGAGAAATAATCTACCTGTAGGAGTTGGAAGTTGTGTGCCAAAGTTCGTAACACAAAACATTACAAATGTAAGTAAGTAGGGTGCTCTACTAGTCAAAGATTGCTCAATGACCATGCAAGCCAGAGTTTTCTACACAGTACAGAGAGAGACAGAAAGAGCGAGAGGAAGCCATGTTGCAACCGTTTCGCGTTAAATCAGGGTCATGAGGCAACCGATGGAAAACACACGGCCCGAATCTAACTCACTAGGGGGAGCAAGGCGAGCAGGAGAAATCAATAGCATACCCTAGGAATTGAGTTACGTACCCTAGCAAAGGAGACGAAGAAGAGTTGATCTAGGGTCAGGTCAACTCCAGGCAGGGTCATGTCGGCGGAAGTCTTCAAACGCTGCTGGTATGCCTAGAAATGCAGAAGATAGGAAATGAGTGAACTCTCATGTTTAAGAACAGTGCCCTGACCGTTGTCATCTGCTTGCACATAAGAATGCTATCTATATGGTTGTGAGTACAATGTGCGTAATATTAACATTATGTTGAGGAAACTGTTTGCCAACTACTTAGACTTAGACATGCCCATCGCGGAAGCGATGATAGCGAACAGCTATGTTAGAAATAGCAACTTGTGCTAGGATTACACCATTCAACAGCTTGCAAGGCTGATGAATTGACCGCCACTAATTTTAGCCTGGTATTCACCACACAGCTGATTGAGGTGACTTTTTTGGTGAATCCCTATTTTTCATTTTTCCATTGGTTTTCATTCTTTTTTTTCTTTTTCGACACACACACACACCACATACTCCGGCATACACTGGCTGTTGGTAACCACCCAGGAGAATGAAAGAAGAGCAAGGAGAATGAGAAAGAGAAGAAAGACGTGTGCGACCATAATCGTCGGGAATTGAACCCGCAACCTCTCGATTGGAAATCGACTGCACATACCACTGCACCATAATACACTAGTACAGCGTGGACATACAATCATTATGATGTGACATCACACAACAGAAAGCCGTTATCCATCTAACCTTGTAGGCCATCTTCAGACCACCATGATCAGCTATGTTTTCTCCGAGCGTCTGGTTTCCACTCACCTGAACACATACACACACGCATGCATGTGCAAACCCATGCACACGTGCACATGCACATGCACACACACACACACACACACACACACACACACACACACACACACACACACACACACACACACACACACACACACATACACACACACACACACACACACACACAAAATGTTTCCATAATATTAATCCACTCCAGCTAAACTAAACTGGACTGTGGCTGGGAACGAGACACGTCGCATATCTTCTATGATACTCTTGATTTCAAACGGCACAGGATCTGCATAGTTGCGACAAACTCAACGTGTCCACTGTAGTGCTGATCGATATGCCCAGTTCTCCATTCTAGTAACTTAGCACTTTAAAACATCTAAATACTGCCACAACAAATACTCTGAGTCACTTTATAATTGAAGGTGAGGCCATATCGCATGTCAGATATGAAGGTAGCTAGACATGTTTGCACATGCTTACATGTTCTCCAAAGACTGTATACTTGCTGTACTGGCTGGCGATACATGATGCGCGCTTCTCGAAATTCTTGATCGACGTTTTTGACCACCATGGATGCAAGTTGCCCTGTTTGTCGAACTGCCGACCTTTATGCACGATAATCAACAGCAAGACAAGAAAATACTAGTTATTGAGGGAGTAGAGATCTCATGCTAGGAAGCTGTTCCCACAACATCACGACACCTGTAGGTCAACTCGATTGCCCCGCTCCACATGCCCGCAAGGCTTGTCATTGGCTCAACTAGCAATACGTTCAACCAAGAGTCCATAATCAAATCGTGTGTGTGTGTGTGTGTGTTTGTGTGTATGTTTCTGTGTGCGTGTGTGGGTGGGTGCACAAACAAGCTAAAGGTTGATTGACTGCACTTCGCACAAAACAAAGCTCGTAGCTCACCAAGTTGATAATCGCTGCAACCGGAAACGCAATTGGATTGCTCAATTTGGTTGACAAGTGTCCAGTTTATGGTCAATCAAGCACTCCATCCATTCAGACGTACGTACGATCTACATGTACGTAAAGGCAATACTCTATTGAGTATACCAAGCTATCCCGCCCATCACATTTTCTATCTAGAAGTTGACTATTGTGGTGTTGTACAGTCAGAAATGTAGGATTACCAATCATAGATTCATGAAATGCAAGACACATATACACAGCAATATCTCACCCTTGTCATCGAATCCATGAGTTAGCTCGTGACCAACGACCGCCCCGATGCCGCCATAGTTCATCGCACTGTGCGTAGGACAAGCGGAGCATGAACATGGCAAGAACATTTTAATATCTTTCTGACTTTCTATGCACAAAGCCAGACTTCACTACACATCATGCTAAGAACCCATGGCTATTTGTATGCCAGGTCACCATTCCCTCAGCACAAAAATATCACTACAGCATTTTTCATTTAATACAATCGTGAAGGTCTGATGATCCTTGAAACCAGTGCAGAACTTCCTGATTGTACAGGCCTAGGTAATCGTTCAGCGCAAACCTGAACGTGCAATGAAACGGCTGAGATGCCACATCTACCTATTGTAGCCCGGTGATTGTAGATGAATGCAAACAGTACTTACTCTGGTCCTGTACTGTAGTAGAACGTCGGTTGAAGGATGCCAGCAGGGAAGACTGCACAGCACAAACCAGCCAAGTACAAGAGGTCAGGATGTACTAGCAATTGAGAATCCTGGCACAAAAGAAACTAACAGGCCCATTGCGATTACTGCCCACAACGGTACCGTGATAGTGCGTATTTCTCAACTCCCCGCTTCCACATGCCCTCTCTGGAATGGAGAAAGTTTCCGAGAAACACACCTACACTACACTGAACATCATGCATGGCCAAGCAGCATGCCAATGCGACAGACCACCATGGAAAATATATTGTGCACGAGCACGAGGGCAAGTCCACAGACACACCCGATGATACTGACCCCCAAGGCAATCAGAGGCAACATAAACCATAATACCAAGCATCCCCTTACCAATGACATTCTCAGTGCCTTCGTAGTAAGCATTTACTGTGGCTGCAGTCATTCCAAATCTAACACAGTGTGGCAACAACAAGGAATCATCAGGATCAGATGTCTTCTCCAGCCATTCATTTTTCTGATCCTTTGAATCATTTTTTTCCCAGTACACGAAAACTGAGACAGAATGAGTACATTGGGCTTCACACTCTTCCCCTCCTTTTCATGCTATTGAGGAACGGAGGTAATGCGATTACATCATGTGATACATCACTGCTTGAGGCAATTTGTATGGAGTGGCATTGCACGTCCTGGGTTACCACTCCATACAAAGCATATGCAATAACATGTTGATAAAGTCATACGTCATGTCCTCAATAGGAAAGAGCACTATAACATTAGAGATCCTCAATCTGCGGACAGAACTGTTTCGTCCTTTGTGGACTCGTCAGCGAAGCACAGAGGAAATGAGGCCGAACCTGGTAGCAATGAAAAATAAATTATCCAAAGCCATATTTAAACCAGGCCCGAACATTAGAGATCTAATTCTGGCAGCTCTCTGGTGACGACATCTTTTGCTCCAATTGACACCTTGCCCCTTGATGGCACGTAGCAGGCTTTCTTAGTGCATAATCTGTTGCAAACCTCCACTACAACTCCACACTGTGACACGGCGAAGAAAATATGACCAATGAGTAATAAAACTTAACGACCGCAAGGATACGCACTCTAGTTCCACCGGTTTGAAAAGCTTGGCATAATTCCTTCTGTTTTTGTGCACAATACCGGCTAGATGATTGCAGTAGTGACACGTTTCATTGATCAGCAACTGCGAATGTGTCATCAACAAACGCATACACACATGCGCATGCACGCACACGCACATGCACGCACATGTACGCACACACATGCATGCACACGCGCGCGCGCGCGCACACACACACACACACACACACACACACACACATACCTATTGTACTGGTAGCGAAATTGAGCCAAGCAAAAGTTCGACCAAGACTGCACCTGGGAGCCAATTAATATCCTAAGTCCAACCATCCTGCACACCTCTAAATATTACCAAAAGCATAATACGATTATATACCCCTAAGTCTAGTACTTCTAGTTGTTCCCATTCAGAATGGAGCAACATGACCATTGGGTACATCTACTTGCAATGCAGCCATTGCACTGTATAAACCACACAGCTAAGGTGCTACTCACATGGGAAGTAGAACACGAACATAGTCTTCAGGTTCTGGATAAGGAGGAGGCTGCTCACGATCACCCGCAGTGATCCTGTTGAATACCCTACACATTCCCCCAGGTTTAAAGACTCTGTTTCATGATAACACTAGCTTTAATTAACAGGTCGCACTACAAGTACGGTAGTGTAATCCCGTGCTGCATCAACAACTAATTTTAAAATATTTGCCACAATTGTATACATCATGTTAGGATCGTAAGAACTAACATCTTTGTAGCGGTCATTCAATGCTGTGTTATTCTTGATGAAATCTGCATAGCCGACCAGTTTCCGCACCGCCTTGGCCTGCAGTGGTGGTCCAAAACACCATCGCAAACAAAAAAAGAAAGAAGCAGGACATTGAGGACGCTGTCGGGAGGAACAAAACAACTGGAAGCATCGAGTTAGCACATCAAGGAATGCATATAACGCGTGCACATCATGCACAATCACGTGCACAGGAACGCAAACTGATGCTCCCACCTGATCTACAAACATATGTGTGTACTAAAAAAACGACATGAGCATGTTCCAACCTTTTCTGCCGCTGCAATTCTTGTCTGTTCGTCCATCCACGCTACACTGGGCAGATTGTCCAAGAATGCCTTTCGTATGTTTTCTATCATCTCTGTTGCCTGCAACACACAGCAACAGAACAGTTATCATGAGTATGTGTGCATTGAAGCGTAACACAACAAGAAACTGAGAACAAGTGCAAGAGGTGTTACATGACATTGTGATAAACATCCAAACAGCTTTTAGACAGGAATAACTAGGCAGAGGGCATCGATCTGACCTCTGCCAAACAATTGAAATGCTAATATTGACTGTCTCCGGACCGTGAAAAAATGAATGGTGTATGCATGGACAGAACTTCTCACTTGTTAGTCAAATACACCGATCATTAGCTTCAACGATACATTCAACAGCCCAAGATGGACAGCGGGGCATATGTTGGCATGATGGAATTCACTTGTAAATGTTTTCTATTCTCAATCAAGCAAGCCTATCTGCCATTGATCATACTGACTGCGGATGCCAGTTCATTTCGGGGTGAACGGAGAGCCTGTTAAGTCGAGAGAAGGCATTCAGTAATTGGTTGTGGGTGCAACGGCATGATAGTTTGGGTAAGTGCGCACTATGTGCTTACAGCTGTTCTGGTCGCTGGTGAGAAGTACTTGTCGACAAACAGACGGCCCGTGGCGTATCCCAACGTTCTGTCGGTGGTGCTAACACAAAAATGAGACCTTGCCCTTGGTTCAGTACCGGCGGTTTCGCGCTGAAATGTCTCCACGTAGCTCAGTATCGGTGGGCCAAGATGAACGAGGGTAGACTTGATTGAAATCCAGGTCATGTAGTTTGCGAGAATCCTGTACGGACATACATACACAAGTCCAGAGGAAAAGCACTGCTTATCGCTGTCATTGGTGCTTGTGTAACGTGAAGGCACATCCTAGAAAAGACAGAGGCTGATGAGAGTTCCTCCAACCAACCTATAGAAACACATATGAAACCACTGCCACTCTCCAAACCACTGCCACCCACTGCCACTCTCCAAACCACTGCCACTCTCCAAACCACTGCCACCCTCCAAACCACTGCCACCCTCCAAACCACTGCCACTCTCCAAACCACTGCCACTCTCCAAACCACTGCCACCCACTGCCACCCACTGCCACTCTCCAAACCACTGCCACCCACTGCCACCCTCCATTTCTCATTTCCGGAGGTGCAATACTCATGTTCATCACACAGTGCGAGTTGAGCTCACAGCATAGTGTCTTGGTTGCCTTCCCTTCACTATCTACTGCATGCACTTTCATTTTTAGGAAATGTCCTGTAATGCATCAGCGTCGGCCGTTCCCACGACTCATTGAGTCACGCACAGTAACGCTGTGCCAAACGGCGTCAATCTGATAACAATAACAATTACGTTTTGTTGGTCTTGTAATCGTCGAGAAGTTCCGACAGTCCCATCATGTAGGCCGGCCACTGGACAATTATATAGGTGTCATTGGAAATCCTGTCGCGAACCTCGGCCGCCAGAACTCCTTTCATGATCTTCAGCCAATCAACCTAAGTAGCATACAGGAAGGCACGCACATATTTACCTTAACTGCGTGAAAAGATGCACAAAGCAAAAAATAATAAAAATAGAAAAAAAAAAGTAGCTAGACTGCCACCAACCGGCAACATAGCTGACAAGTATTGGCAAAAACAATCCTCTTAATTTCACGCCAAACCTAGGACAAAGACAACCTTGCCTGTTCAACCAGATTTTTCCGGGAGCAAATATTTCACTTCTGAATGGCAACACATAATCAAGCAACACAAGCGGTTAGCAACAGTGAGTGCTGCCGCTGAAATCCAACCAAACCCATCACCAAGCAACACAAGCGGTTAGCAACAGTGAGTGCTGACGCTGAAATCCAACCAAACCCATCACCAAGCAACACAAGGTTAGCAACAGTGAGTGCTGACGCTGAAATCCAACCAAACCCATCACCAAGCAACACAAGGTTAGCAACAGTGAGTGCTGACGCTGAAATCCAACCAAACCCATCACCAAGCAACACAAGGTTAGCAACAGTGAGTGCTGACGCTGAAATCCAACCAAACCCATCACCAACCAACACAAGGTTAGCAACAGTGAGTGCTGACGCTGAAATCCAACCAAACCCATCACCAACCAACACAAGGTTAGCAACAGTGAGTGCTGACGCTGAAATCCAACCAAACCCATCACCAAGCAACACAAGGTTAGCAACAGTGAGTGCTGACGCTGAAATCCAACCAAACCCATCACCAAGCAACACAAGGTTAGCAACAGTGAGTGCTGACGCTGAAATCCAACCAAACCCATCATGGGTTGAGTTTGTGGTTTCAAGTCCCCTAACTGGGTTATAACCTGAACTTACGGCTGGTACAGCTGACTGGAGCTGGGACACTGTCCACTTGTTGTACGTGCTCTCTGGGTCGCGTAGCTCGGTTAGACTGGCTTGTATCTGCGAGAAGGAGTAGCAAAAGCGGGAATTATCAGATTGCTAGAGTGCTCAACACCACAAGGATGCGGGAGCAATACCACAAAGGCAGAAGAGAAGAGCGAGTTACAACTACAAATTTTACCGGTTGTCACTGTTCTCTTCGGCCTTTGTGGAGGGGAAAGTATGTAGAATGCACACTCCACTCACGTCCAATCGTAAAGAGCCCTCGCGTTATGTGATTCGCCATGCAAAAGGTATTCACAACTACTTAGTCCAATAAAATCAATAACAGAAAACCGTGCTTCAAGCTTGGAGACTCGTCATACTTGACTGAGTACATGTATGCACAGACTACGAGAGATTCACACTGTCCCTCCGTAGTGTCCTCAGAACATTCTTCAGTGAAGTCGACGGGGCTATGCACAAAAGAACATGAAGCATTTCCCTGGAACTAAAATCATCAAGTCCCCTTACAGCTGCTACTCTGGTCTCCAGGTCGACTATCTCTTGCACAGCCTGAGTTGCATCAGCATCGGTGGCGCCGAGTGCCACAAACACTGCTTTCATCTCCTTCCGATATGCCGTCAGATACTGTACAGTGCAAGAGTAACAGAGAGATGCGCATCATCGTCAAAACGGCATAACGTGCTTGTCTGGATCAGTTGCAAGTTCAAAACAGGCTACATACTATGTACAGTACAACCTACACATTAGTACAGACCCGATAAAAACAAGACGGACCATCACAGCATTTTAAGTTGCAACATTGGAATTATCTAGACTCTCTACATCCACTCAGGCGCAGTGGAAACAAGAGATTGGTGTGTAGAGAAAAGGCAGATATCAAAACAGGTTCTGATGGTTGCTAGTGTGATTTTCGAAATACCCAAACCATCCGTCCTGTGACGTGGCCGACTCCATCTCAGATGGATTGACAATATTAAAAATGATCTAAAGCACGCCAACATTGATATTTCTGACTGTTTTGAACTGGCTCTAGACAAGAAAAAATGGCTGATGCTTGTGGAAAAATGTGCTTCGCTTGCGTAGTTGCTCTTACTGCGATACGTTCTAACAATAATGAGATGCCTTTTGTTGGCTCTTCTGCCTGGATTTCGTTGACAGATGTGCTAAGCCCATGGATCCTTCCATGAGTGACATGTGAACTGTAACTATTATTATCCGTCCTATTGCTTTACCTGCGCAGTCATGCACAAATACTGAGTGTACCTACACCATCATACACAAAATAGTAGTCACCCAGGAATTAGATGTGGCTTCCCACACTGAAGAATCCAAAAAAACAATGCATTAACACCATATGATCTTACTCTGAAATTGGTGGTCGAGTTTCCAGAGTAGTAGGTCTTTGAGCGGAGACCAAGGCCGGAGGAGTAGATCTACATGTAGATAATACGGGCAGCGCCGGAAAGCATAGTCTTTGATACTAAGTACAATAACCGAAATCACAATCATCACGGATCCGTGACCTCAACAAACATAGCACATCCTCATGGTTGTGCAAAACAGCCACTGAAGCTACTACATATCTACTGGGCGTTTGGAAAATCTGTATTTAGTGTGAGGAGGGTGCTATGATGGCGACGATAACGTGTATTGATGACCCCGGCAATGAAATCCATGCACACCAATTGATGTACAATTAGTGGGACCTGGCTCACATAGTGCAAACAGCATTACTTGCATTCAGCATAGCCAGATTACATATTGACCTGCAAGAGTTGCTGCAGGAAGTATACATGTATTCCAATGCATGGAATGACTGCAACTGCCAACGTTAGACTCACGTGGAACAGATTATCCTCGGTGTTCTTCGCATCTTGTTCAATGGAAATTGACATGAAACCGGCGGCATTGCTGCGCTGCTGCACCTCGATGACGACGTCTTCAAAGTTCCACGCATCGGGATTCCAGCTAGCTGATGAGATCACCGGCAGTCCACCGATGGATGCAATGAACGACAGCAGCGGAGCAGCGCCGAGCTGAGTGATTTGGGCAAGCTGCAGACACGTCTCATACATCAGGCTGGCCTTACCGACGGCCGACGTGTGTGACTTTGGTGTGATGACCAGCTCCTGGCGCAGCCGCTCAAAGTTCTTGTCGGAGAGAGCACTGAAGCTGCTCAAGCGCCCCACGTCATCGGGACGTATGTGCGTGGCCACAAAGCCGCCGCACGCGTACTCGTAGAAGTCCTCGCACGGGTCCGCGGTCTTGTTGAGCGTCGCCGCGATCTCGCCGGCGAACACCACGCAATCCTGGCTGGTGCAGGGGTTGCTCTTCTGCGGCGTGTTCTTGTGATGCCGGGCGCGGTCAATGCCGATGTAGATGGCCAGACCCAGAATGGACAGCACCGCTACGACGAGCACCAACGCCAGCCAGCGCTCAAGAGTGGTTGCTGAACTGTAGCTACATCCTGAACGTCTTTTACTTGACTGTGCAATGGGAAATCCACAGTAAGTAGAAACACAGAACAGCAGCTGCTCCGTCAACTCGACTATGACAATTGAATAGCACAAGCGAAATTTACAAAAATTATACAAATTTACAGTAAAAGCTGGTCAAGTGACCACCCCATGGTCCAACCAACAACAGGCCAGTGGAAGCGGGTGGTCACTGAAGCCAGGCTGCATGCATGCAAAGGAATTACCACTTTGGCTAGCAACCTGTCGCTTCGTACCCAGTGACCTGTTACCTTTCAAAATCTTTCGAACATTGCTTCACAGACCTACTGCATGTCACGGGATGTACGTTTGGTCGCTCTATGCTGGTGTTTGGTATACCATAAACTCACAAAGTGGGCGCGCAAAGCAGGAGGTGCTTTTAAAAACCAGTGTGCACTTTACACACAGAACTGTCCATGCAAGAAAGAAAAGAAAAACACACAAAACAAAAAGCGGTTGTGTAGCCGTGGAACATGAGGTATAACTGCCATTGGCTCAGTTACACTTCACTTGGATACACTGCAGTCCGGAATCGTATTAGGTAGACTGCGGCCTGGACTGGCGTCAGAACTCGCCAGGCGTAGTGAGCCCACTATGACGGGCATATTGGCACAGGTCATTCACGCGATAAATTGTCCTACCGCAATGGAGCGTGGTCACCATTTCCAGTCTAGCATCGCGACAGTTGTTATTGTACAATCTAATGTGCCCCATGTGAAATATGCAGATAAATACATGAGGGTCTCGTTGAAAGTGAACTTCAACTGTTCAAGTGAACGTAATCCCTGTGCAAAGCTGCAGTTTTGCAACATGAGGCATACCAGTATCAGTGTCTGCTCCAGCGCCGGGTGAGCCGGGTAACCCACCCAGTTGGGCGGCGCTTGGACCCGGTTGAAAATATAGTACCGGGTCACCTGTGACCCGGTTGGTACTTTACACTTTCGAACTTTGAAAGGACTGACTACATGGCTTGTATGTGTCAGATACTTCTTCTTCTTTCGTAATTTTCTAATTCCTGTCCTCTCTTTTCTAAATGCGACTTATCCATTCGCCCTTATATTAGGGGTCAAACGGGTGTACCGGGTACCCGGGTACCCGCCCGTTAATCTCAGGTACCGTTAGTAAAAGGGTACCCGTTTGTAAAAAAAAAAAGGTGATCCTATCGTATTCCAAGACTTAAAAAAATAGGAGTGCGGATACTCTTTTCCTTTTTCCTGTGCATTCTCGCTTTCGACTTTATCAGGCAGGAGCAGGCTGAAAGACAGACTTGACAGTTGTTCTCTCCACTCTAGTGCAAGTAAAAATCCTCGTACTGGAGGTTTTTGATTGTGATGTGAGAAAATGCAAGACTTGAAACTCGTTCGAGGTGGCAGCTGAGTAACTAGAAAGTTACGATGGTTCTCCGACATCGAACCTGCCACAGTACTTGATGAACTAGTGTCACCAGGCCGAGTGTCACAAACGGTGATGTCCGTAGGTGGTAGCTACATGTATGATACTCATGGTTGTAGTTTGTTCCTTCAATCGACGAGCTGAAAAGTAGTTCGAAATATTGCATTCAAGATTACGGATTTGTGAAGATTCATTTCACGAGTTCAACAAGCTAGCACTAGCAGCTAGCTGGCCAGCAGCACATCAGCTGTGTCAGGCACCCCAGCTAGCTATGGGCGCGAACAATCGGAACATCTTCTGAATGCAACGAGTACCAGTTCTCTGCGAACATAGCAAATAGGATTGCGCGAGATCACGGACGTTTTGCTAAACCACTCTGTCCTTGCATGGCTTGAATCACATCGATCTGCAGTTGATTTGCGTACATGTATCAAAATACATGTAGCTTGAAGGACCATGTACATGTACGATTGTAAGTTACTGCCTGTGAAGTAGTTATGTACATGGGCAAATGCACGGATGACATTCATTTGGAACCTTCATTGCCATAATAATATTATGATACACGAATCAATTGCGAATCATAATGTAGTATCAAAATACAACCTGAGAATATACAAATTAAAATCATGATTTATGTGAGAAATGCGCAAAAAAATAATATGGCTGCTAAAGGGTACCCGTTAACCCGCCCGTTAAGAAAATTACCCGTTCGTTAGTTAAAGGTACACCCGTTTGACCCCTACGCTTATATCATTGGGCATAGTTTCCGTTTATTGTCCGAATTAAAATAAACCAACCAACCAGTTAAAGCATGTGACTCGGCTGGTGAGACAGCGCCAGGTACATGTGTACCTGGCTCCGACCCGGTTGAAATAGTTGCGCCAGGTACACGTGTACCCGGCTGTCCTACAATCCTAGAGCAGACACTGCAGTATACAGTCGTCCCTCTCTAATCCGGCACTTTATAAACCAGCACCCTCTATAAACCAGCACAATTTTTAGTAGCCAAAATGTCCTCTTCATGCACATTGCAACAGTAGATCAGATTTTCTAATCCAGCACCCTCCCTAATCCAGCAGATTTCCGTGGCACAAATGGTGCCGGATTATAGAGGGACCACTGTACCAGCAATGCGCATCACATTAGGCACACCATAAATGCACAGGATGCACCCTGATCAGCTGTACCAGATAACCTGCTGACACTGATAATACCCGTAACAACTCAGTGCCATGCCTGATGATTAGTTTCCTTGCTTGGTTGTCATCCTTTGCTGTTGTAGTGTTCACCAGGTTTGACAACATGTGTTATTTTAGGCATTCGTTGTGTGCGCCCTGGCGATCTATGTCAAAGATTTAAGTAATGCTTTCCTTCATGCCTGGGGCCCAGTCTTAGGCCATATCAAACTACATAAATATGCTGTATTTCAAAGAATGTCCACGCGCAGCATGCCAGCTCTTGTTTGTGATAACAATTTTTTTTAATTCCGGACAGATGCACGGTGAGTCAATGGCATCGCCTACTGACCAGCGATTCTTGGTCACCCCGCGCCACGTCGTCCAGCTGCGAGTACGACTTCTTGCCGCTCATCGCTGCAGATCAGCCCTGCCAGCGCCCATGCAGCGCTTCCACCAACGACGTAAACGCGATGAATCCTGTGAACGTCGACGACTGGACAAAAGAAGTATTACTTCCACATGGCTTTCCCTGTGGTGCGTGGCACAATACTATCTCTGTGTATCACTATTACTATAATATTATTAGATCTACTGCAGTACTGGTCCTGATGTCCAGAGATTTTTTCAAGTCAATGCACCACTCACTGCAAACTACAATAAACCTAACAGTAACAAGTACCATGAGTACAAAGTCATGTAGTTACATCGGCGACTTCGACTCTCGAGTCGGGAAGGAGTAAACACTACTGAACTGGACATGCATAGCTAGCACAGGACAGAGTCTGAAGTCTGTAGTCTTGTCACACATACAAACCTGCTGCCACTGACGATCTCAGCCTCAGCCGGGCTCAAGCTCAGGTCCTGCACACGAGTAGACCTACGGCTAAGGCAGGTGTCCAAGTGAAGCTCCGAAGATGTCCGCACAAGTCACGTTACGACGTTAGTGCCACAGGCCAGTGCCAGTAGTGGATCACACAGAACAAGTAGTTACAGCGAGTATCGCCGAGTGATCATCGATACTAGTATGCAGTACAGGTGCATGACGTGTATGACTGTCGACTGTGAGTGATGAAGCTGATGGCCCTTGAGTCTACTAAAACTCCACTAATATCAACTCTGCTCTAGCTATTTCAAAGATGAAGACGGTGAAGTCCTTGATCATGAACAGTCAGCACTGCTGAATCCGTTTGTCAAACACGGACTTGGCAAGGCGGTGTTGGTATGCATTGACTGCACCGCGGTTTGAATGCATTTCCGGGATCGACTTGAGGCGTCTAAAGTAAAGCCTAAAGCCGTAAAGGAACACGGATTGTAGGTGTCAGAAGATGAGTTCAAAACTTTGATGGGCCTTATTGGTGGTTTGGCTGAAATATTTTCATTTTCCGGTGTTGTGTATGGTAGATCTGCACACAATCATTGGCACCACTACCAGTAGAGCTGAGTGTGTGTTGGGCTACACAGACACTGAGACAGTGTAGGTTTGCTACATGTACAATGCCATTGTATGTATCATGATGTATATGTCGTGTCCGTGTGTTTCTATCTGTATTGTATTCCGTCTGCTCCTACATGTATCTTTGTCAAGTGTTTGCCGTGGCGTCGATGTGTCTCGTCTATGAATAGCGTTGGGAAACATATCACTATTCATGCTTTGCTGGCTGGCTGCTCGCGCCCTTCGCTCTTTCAGCTTGCACGCTACTAGGACATAATAGCAGTATATAGCTCGATGCTTTGCTTCGAAGTTGTTGTTGTTCTTGTTGCTTCTCTGTTGCTTGGAACTTGGTCCTGGAGTGAAGCTTTGGTCTTCTTGTGTGGTGAGGGTGAGGAATGGGTATCTGGACTCCTGGTATATTTCCGTAAAGAACCTGGAATCGTAGAATCCTGAGATATGTCTGGCCCACTCCCCGGTCATGACATTTGGCGACCACGCCAGGATGTCCAGTGCCACTAACATTCCGAACCCTCGGCAGCGAGAGGGAGCGCTGCCAATAGCCATCGCCACCACACCGCAGCCCGTCCTGGGTACGACGATAAACTGCACCCTGGCGACCGCGGTTGGTCACCATCACCAACGCGCCCGTCCCGGAGCATGACGATAAACTGCTGGACGTAGCCAGAGCTGGAGAGGAGGTACATCGAGGAAGTCAAGATGAAGGCAACACGCAAACGGGAGCCGCGGATTTCAAGTGAAGTTAGTTCGGGTCAGTTACCAGTTCCTGGACACGTTTCTGGTCTTGTCACCCGTCTAGTCTTGATTTGTCTTATTATATAATAGTTCATAATGATAGTAACACAGAAGCCATCCCTGCAGGCTGACCAATAGCTTGTTCGAACGTAGTTGTAACGGCATAACCTATTTATTTTTTCTAACACTGCTGTGGCTGAGAGTCTGTGCAAGACTGGCGCATTATGTGTTTCTTTGGTTCTTGGGTCGGAAGAGGTTGGTTCCTTCCTTTCAAGTTTTCAAGAGTTTTATTATTTTGCTTTCTTTTTCAGTGCCGTTACTTTTCTTCTGTTACGAGGACGTAACATGTTCGTAGGCGGGGGATATGTCGTGTCCGTGTGTTTCTATCTGTATTGTATTCCGTCTGCTCCTACATGTATCTTTGTCAAGTGTTTGCCGTGGCGTCGATGTGTCTCGTCTATGAATAGCGTTGGGAAACATATCACTATTCATGCTTTGCTGGCTGGCTGCTCGCGCCCTTCGCTCTTTCAGCTTGCACGCTACTAGGACATAATAGCAGTATATAGCTCGATGCTTTGCTTCGAAGTTGTTGTTGTTCTTGTTGCTTCTCTGTTGCTTGGAACTTGGTCCTGGAGTGAAGCTTTGGTCTTCTTGTGTGGTGAGGGTGAGGAATGGGTATCTGGACTCCTGGTATATTTCCGTAAAGAACCTGGAATCGTAGAATCCTGAGATATGTCTGGCCCACTCCCCGGTCATGACATATAGAGGGGTGCTCACATACATGTACAAGTCATGTACAATGTCATGTACCTGTACATGTACAATATGTGGCTGCGCTGCCTGCATCCTCTAACTACCTTTCTTATCAGCGCGGATATTTGAGCTTATGTGACATTATTATTCATTTAAAAAAATGTATTGGTATTGGGGGGTTTTTTTGGTATTGATTTATTTGAATTCGGTATCTCAACAGTACATTGTACAACTTGGGAAGATCCGAATGACATAGATACATAAACATAAAAGTGGAGTAGGTGGTACAGCGGATCATTTTATCGCAGATTGTGGGACTAAACTAATACCAGTATGCAAGTACACAAGAAATAAAAGCTGAATAAATACGACTGCATGACATTGGAGAAAAGCACCAATTAGAGCAAAACAAAGCGGCACATCACTCATCGAAAACATTTTCAAAAAGGAGCTGTTTTAACCGGGTACATTGTGGCCCGTCATTAAGAAGGCAGGCAAGATGGGCGTTAAATGCAGAAGACGTATTGCAAGACTTCATTTCGAAGGGCAGAGCATTCCAAAGTAAAGCAATCCTACTAGACAATGAGCGATATCCGCATGCAGTCTTATATCGGCATAACGAAAGATTATTTGCAGAAGAGCCGCGAGTGGTGTAAGCAGGTGTACTGTGTTATTATACTCGGCCCTAAAGTTTAAACCGTCGTTTGCCAGTTTTGAGACAGAATTCTTTAGCATTTCACCTCGCCAATGGCCTGGTCAGACTGCGGCAAAAACGAAATAATCCTGTGATTATAATCCAAATCTCCATAGAAACTTGACGCCAGAGCAGCGAAATTGAAGGTTGACGCTCCAAAATAAAAAGCAAGAGCGGATCACGCTTTTCCGCTCCAGAGAGGAGTTTGACCCCGATACGCCATTGATGCTGATATTCACTGATCTTTTTATTTCGATATCGAAGAGCTACATGTACATGTAATTGGCCACGGACAACAACAAAACTGATAAGGATGGTTGCAAGGAATACACTGAAGGTATTGGCGATTACCGAGGTGAAGAAATTTCACGTTGTTCTTGGAGATAACACTTGATGCTCGAAATGAATTTGAACTTTCAATCTCCCCGCACGTGTAGTGTGATCGAGATTCTAATCCTGAGCGATTTTCATTTTTCGTCAGGCACCGACAATTTGCCGCAGTCTGACCAGGCCCTTACCAACAAAAATCCGGAGATCGTTAACTTTTTAATTGACGTTAAAATATCTGGTTTTGAAGTATATTATAATTATACCGTTTTATCTCTAGTTCCAATACAGTCTCTTGTTGAAACCCAGTCTCTACTATAAGCGCACTCCAAGAGGGCTTCGAAGATATACAAGTGCAATCTTCAATATAAGCGCAGGGTTTATAACGGAGAACTGTATGGATTATGTCCATGCATGGTTGACATCACAAAGTGTCACATACCCACATGTTGTGGCACAAATTTGTGAACCCTGAGGTACAAAGAACAGACTCAGTGTACCAGGAATTACAAAACTGCATTCACGATACTTGGTGGTAAGCTTTGTGCTACTGGTGTAATAAAAAATGATGACCAATGTACATGTACAGTCGACCTACCCTTATAACGATAACCTCTATAACGATATTACCCTGATAACGATATTTTTCTGCCAAACCAAATCACTCCATTGACTTGTGTATACAATGCCTTACCTCTATAACAATATTGCTATAACGATATTACCCCTATATCGATATAAAATGGGCTGACCAATCGACGTTTTCCATTTTATAACAATATCTAGCAGGGAATATGTAGAGCCTACTATCCAGGTAGGGCAAGCTTCACTTGATAAGTCCTTGGGACGTGACGAAATGCAATGGGGCACCAGTGGGCACCTTGCTGTGCATATAATGTGCATGTATGTCAGTTTTTATGCTATGGAGAGTGTAAAAAATGAACAAAATCCATGCATTATGACGTATGTGTATGAAATGAACCAGTTACCCCTATTAACAATATTACCCTTATAACAATATTTCTTGGTGTGACGCAAATATCGTTATAAGGGTAGGTCGACTGTAACATAATTATATTGTAAAATTATAAGCCCAGTCTCTAATACAGGTACATGTATAAGCCCGGGGTCCGGACTGGTTGAAAAAATATAAGCCCAATGCTTATAATGGAGATAACACAGTATATTTATATTTATTCCCGTAGCTAATATGCAAAAGACGTTACTTCAGTGACATCTGGCGCTAGCGAGGGTCCACACAGCTTTAATTCCGTGTTTGTTTGTTTGTGTGTTTGTGCCGTCGGCATGCCTGGCGCTATCCCGTACCTGTCCTGTACCGTACCATCAAAGACAGCTGGCCACAATACCGTAGAATCCCGCGTATAAGCCCATGCTTGCGCATAAGCCCAGGGTTAGTTCGAACATCACAAAGCTTCATTGTACAAGCCCATGGGCCTAGCTGGCCTAGGTCATACCAAGAGTCCGTAAATTATGGACTCTTGGCCATACCAGTACATTTTTTTGTACATTTCAACACAATCATTGGTTGTTTTTGTTTGCACAGTGGTTTTCAGCAATGTACTTCTCACTTCCTTGATACTTTTCAATAGCACAACTTTGGTGTCAGCGTATAAGCCCATGCCCGCGTATAAGCCCATGTTCTCGTAGAAGCCCACCGAAATGTCCTTGTGAAGCGGATAAGCCCATGGGCTTATCTGCGGGATTCTACGGTATTCAAATAGGGCTTTCAAATGCAAGATCATAACGTGAAGCAACTTGGAAGAATGAGTATGTATGCGAAGTGTATCGGGGGATGCATGCAGTGCGATAGTGCGGGTTCGAATCCCAGTTTATGACTTGAATAAAATAGGAGAAATGAAAAAATTATAACATCCCTATGTTTTTTTTGTCTAGGTCATCAAGGTGGTAGACGGTGTCGTATTACCCTAGAATGCACAAGAGAAAGTTTGATGTAGCCAATCAATGGAAAAAAACATTTCCATCAGTTCTAGTAACATGCATGATGAGCTAGGCAAAACAGCATAGCGTAGGGCCATGAGCTTCCGAGCCATCTCTCGTTACACCATCTCAAGACTCAGTAGAAACACCGCCCATGCAATGTGAAGAGAGTGGGTGATAGCCAACCACGGCGATAATTAGAATTTTAAAATGTTACTGGTCTTACAGTATACTGCTTCAAGAGTCTAGACTATTCAACCAGGGAGTACGACGTACGTTTTAGAACTCTCTGATTTCCATCATTACCCTGTGGTGGACCACCTACTCCCTGTGTCGCACTGTTTGGTGGACGTTCATCATGATTGCTACACATAATACTGAAAGCCATATCGTGAACTCTCTGCAGCAGCCATTACTATAGTTAGCACAGTTGGTCTTCACCCGTCGCAGTCTACATCAGGGAGTGGTACAATACCGGTATTTTACGACTCCCTGATCTACATGTATTATGCACATGTAGTCTACGTATACAATACATCACGCAAATCCATCATGAACATCGCGGCTTGTTTTTACTGACGTCAGTCCTCGCAACACTGGCTGGTCCCTATTCCCTACCCAGCCACTTCGATCGCACGTGAAAATACTTCTGACCCGCCATTGTTATTCGTCCATGGACATAGTCTATTCCATACTCGTAGTCGACTGCACACTAACCTGCATCGTCAGCTGGAGAATCTGGTTGGCGATTGGCGGCTACTACTGGCACTTGAAACACGAACTACGGTGCCCGCGCCGCGTTGCCAAAGTGCGAAGTTGTTACAAACAACGACCGCTTTTCCGACGGGCACATTGCAGACGAGACGAAATCTCATGAACACATCGTTCTAGGAAGCGGGAGACGATTGATTTTGTCCATGCAGATCTGCATGTACCAGATAGGGCTGTTGCTGAGGTTCGGCAATGAACTGCAAGTACAGTGTATTAACACTCGGCTTGTCTTGCTGATAGGACAAGTCAAGAAGAGAAACCTTGCGTATGATCTAGCAAGGACGAGCACCGACACTGAGCGGCCGGGTACAAAAACTACCTCGCACCTCTGCGCTGCGGGATGTATGCCGGATGCAGCTGGCAGACACAACTCTCTGCGGTTCAGCCGGATTGCAGCCCCAGCATCGCATTATCACGTGTGTGCTCCGTTCCGGTGGAATTCGTCCCCTTTTTCAATTATTTATTTGTATACAAGTCTGCCTCAGACTGAGGCTCAGATCACTACAAATTACAATGTACATCATGCCACACAGATCTCCGTAGATATAACCTCTCACTGGTCCACAAAGGCACCAGTACTCTTTCAGTCTTTCGGCTGCACGGCTCTCGTGGGCATTTGCGGCTTCTTAGCAGTGGGACTCCTAGCCTGCTGAGCGACCCGGGATATATCTGTGAGCTGGATCGGCGCATGTCCGGCATAACTTTGAGTTATCGAACTGCCACGTCTCTTCTAAGATGTGCTGCTAGAAAAGCATGCAGCCTACTTGCATATGACTGTCATGTAGGTCATGATTGTAGACCTAGATGACTGTAGAGTGTGGTCATGTTCTGATGCTTGCTCAAAATGAGTCCGATGCAGTAAATTACTAAAAACCTGCTTACATGTAACTAACGTCACAATGTTAGTCTTGTAGTCACGTGTATATCAGGGCTGGCGCTTTTCTGCCAGTACATGTACTCGTAGAAATCTGAAAATATTCTGGGGGTCCGAAGAGGCCCCTGTGGCCAGGCTGTGGGGGGGGGGGGGGGAGAGACGACATCCCTTGGCAGTCCGGTAGATCCAGTGGGACAGGTGGTAAGGGGCAGCATACCCTTTATAAGCCAGAGCACTTTTGGGATTCAAATGCCCAAAACACCAGATCAGGGCACTTCCGCGAACAATCCAATGGTAAGATAGTGGAGCAGACTGTTTTGGTCTGTTTTTCGGAACACTATGACTTGCAAGGAGCAGTACCAAAATATCAGAACAAGTGGCAGGATTAGCCGCCTGCTCAAGGGTCCTTACAAATGTGCCCCCCCCCCTTCCGTGGTGGTCTCCTTATCCAGGGTCATTTGACTGGAAACGACATCCCTTGGCAGTCCGGTAGATCCAGTGGGACAGGTGGTCACCTTACCCGTGCACGTACAATGTACATCAGAGCAATCACCTTGACTCCGCTTAACTCTATTGTCATGTTGTGGTCACCTCACACGTTTGAACAAAGCTCCATACATATCAGTAGGTGTATGCAATTCTCGCATCTTGTCATCCGGTTGCAATAAAACTATGGGGAAATACAGAACATTCTCAAGATATCAAAACTAATCCGTATTGTCTCGGAAGCTGGCAACCTGAGAATTGCCTCAGGTCGTAACCAACCATCTACTGTAATGACTGAACAGTTCAACTGCACCATACTTGTCTATGCCTAGGCCTTACAAACATACAGGGAGGGCTAGCCGCACCATTTCAACAGTGCGCAAAGCGATAGAAACAATTCTAAAATTAATAATTCATAGCTGGATCGATCTCTGAGTTGAGGCAACCATGCCACAGTGTTGATGACAGAATATTTCTGGATAAGAATTTAGAATAATCTGGAAGAGGGAAAGTAGGGAATACTGCTTCATAGACTGATGGTTATATCAAACATGGATTTAGAAGTTGTCATGCTCCATAAATTTATACGTAAATTGGACACAACGTAGCGAAATTTCAAGGTTGTTCGCAGTGCAAAAACTGGACGGCAACGACAAAGATCTTTTCAGGGGCTCCTCCACACTTTCCTTATATGGCTTCGACTGTGTTGGGTTGGAAGTTGGTATTCACTCTCGTCGGGACTGGTGATGATTGCTGCACGGAGGATTGACCCGGGCGGATGGGAGCCGGTGCTGCAGGTGCCTGCGGTGCCTGCATCTTCCCGGTCTTCAGGTTTGCGGTGATCCGCGGGAACGCGTACGGCCGCCGCAGCGAACGCAACGAGGGCCGCCGCGATTTCTTCTTCAGATCCAGCTTCTGGGGCAGGTCCTCAAACACCGTGACGAGCTCGGAGAAGCGAGGTCTACGGTCCGGGTCTTCGTTCCAGCACTGTAACATAATCTCATACCTGAAAAGTGAAACGCAAGAGAAAGAATGATATCGGCAATGAGTCCACAGACATAGTTTCTGCACATGGTTATTGCTAATCAAGTGTGGGTAGTGGAAACGTAGGACCCCTGGTGTGCTCTTGATGGCATTCGTTGGTCAATAAAGGGCCGTGGCGCTGGGATTTCAGGTGGCCCGGCCAAATAAGATACTTGACTGGAAATGAATATTTCACGAAAACCCCCGTTTTGCACAAATTGGGTGGGTCAACTAGTACTTGTATTGCCCTGTTGTTTGTGACTTACGTTTCATCAGGACATCCACGTGGCTTCTCCATGCGCATTCCGCCGCGAAGCTCACTGATCAGCTCACGATTCTGTATGCCGCTGTAGGGGAATTTTGCTGCAGAGGAATCGGCAGAAACCAGATTAGTACCTTGAGCAGGTCACGGAAGTCACGGAACTATTTTGTGTACCGGTGTTCTTTTCTGAATTTCACACTTTTCATCTGAGGATCCCCTCGCCTGAACATTCCTAACAAAACCTCAAACAGCTATTATAAGAGGCTCTAAAGAAAGTTTTTGTAGCAAATATGTGACGGTACTTCTACGGTATACCGTCATCATCATTATCATGAGATTGGTGGTGGTTACATCTCTCCATGGGACAACATTGCCATGCATGCACTGCGCCCATAGCAACACACATTGCCATGCATGCACTGCGCCCATAGTAACCATAGCAACCCACTCACCTAGTGTAGCTATCTCCCAGAGCACCACTCCGAATGCCCACCTGCACATCAACAATAACATAATTATAGAAATTGTACACGATACCAACTGCATGGCGTCAGTTGATCTGGTGTCCCAGCATGCATATCGGTTAGGCAGTATCCTTGGTACAGACACTATCAAAATTGAATGTGTTAGGACAGCCCCGAGCTAGATTGATTAAGTACAACATATCTATCCCAACGCTGCCATGTACTGCTCATCAAGTAACTCCTGATATCAGCAGAAAGACGGAAAAACCTTGATCTGTTTTCCACTAGGCATGCCGGTATACCCGTCGCACGAGGCATGAGCATTGTGCAACACTCGCACATCGTCAAGAACACCTTACTCACATGTCACTCTCCGAGGAATACGTTCTGAGTGTGAGCGCCTCGATGGACATCCATCTAATGGGGACTTTCCCTCCTGTCGTCTTGATGTAGACCTGCATGCAAGACGTCAAATTCAAGTACCGGTGAAACTCAATACATGCTCACAGCTCAAACATCTGGGCCGTAGTACGACAAGATTTGAAGAATTAAAATACTAGAACAGAAAGTCACACAGCATCGCTCATACAGACGTTTAGCATACCTCATCTGGATCTTCATAGACATCTCGAGTCATGCCGAAGTCTGACACTTTCAGCACCTTTCCCCTGTCCACCAAGATGTTCCGTGTGGCCAGGTCACGGTGAATCATGCGCATGTGGGTTAGGAAAGCCTGCAGATGCACACAAGAATAGTGAAGATTGATATTTTTCTTCAGACTTTTTTCCCTTTTTCATTCCCTCAACTAATGAATAGAAGACTGATGCCTTTACAAATATACTCATAATACCAAAGGCAATTTGCTTCCAGCCAAAGCACTTTTGTACCTGGTGATAATGCCAGAGTAGAGCCTGTGGCGAGGAGGCTAGTCAGGGTTAAACACCACAACTCACCATGCCTTCAGCAATTTGCCGAGCAAAGTCACATGCTTCGGCCGGATGAATTTGACCATCTGCCAGCGCTATCCTCGGCTTTCCCTGCGCCTCCAGTCCACTTAGTGTAGGATCATTCGGAATCTGAGCAGGCAAATGGGTAAGAGAAGGGAAATAATTTGTTTTGCGAGTGCATCGAAATACATTATTCAAAACAACACCACCGGCTGTTCATACTAGAGTGAATTTGACGGTATCACAGTACCTCAGTTCTAGAACATTCCCAAGCACAAAGCAGCGAAAAAACACAGGCATAACTACAACAGCACCATTGTAATGCAGTTAGCTAACAGACAAACAGACCCTAATGGTTAATCTGCCCAGGACCGTTACGTACCGCTTGTCTGGTTCGCTGCAGAAGGTCCTTGAGACTGCCGTGCGCTATGCATTCGGACATCAAGTAAATGGGGTCGTCCTGAGTGCAGCAAGCGACGAATCTGACAAGATGCCGATGCCCACCAGCAGATGCAATGTCCTTCATGCGGCTGATCTCATCCAGCAAGTCGCTCTTGTCATAGCTATTGGCAGTGTCTGTTGAAAACAAGACAATGGGATAAAGCACTCGGGGAATTGCCGCATAACAGGTACCTCAGTGTGATGTGCCCAGAAGTCAAAATTTAGCAATGGTTGCACAATCAATCTCCTTTGGTTTCTTTACTTCAGAAATGCCATGAATTTGAAGGGCGCCAAGGAAAGAAAACAGGGAACCGGGAGGAAGGAGCCCAATGAACGTTGGCTCCTTGCACTAGCAGGAGTGAACCCGTGATGTGAGTTTGCAGTTGAAACCCTAATCTACAAACTTTTAGGGAGGGGAGGGTATACTTTTTGCCATGCACACGATACGGTAATCACTATAATGTGATGAGAGCGGTGACATAACTTACCGAAGAGTTTCTTGACTGCTACCTCACACCTGTCCACTCCTAATCGAGGGGGATTGTCTAGCTGAGCGCGGATCACCTGACCAAATGCACCACGTCCAAGCTGATCCAGGAGGTGTACACTCTTACGCGGCACCTCCCAGATGTCGGGGATAGGCCTGACGATATCCGAAGGCCCGTCGAGAGCGATGGAACTATTGCCGATGTCCGTCGAGGCGGTGATGTCACTAATCGCCATGCTGACCAGGGTACCGTTCGATACGGGACTCATATGATTCGGTGAGAGTTTTTGCTGCTTGTTGCAGTGCACGCAGGCAACGATGGCGATTATGAGTATGACGGCCAGGGAAGCAACAGCCGGCACAACCACGGTGATCAGAAGAGATTCAGAACCCTTCTCGGCCACGCCAGGAGTGGTTTCACCTGTGTCTGGTCGGGTTAGGGTGGACACTGTAGATGTTGTACGAGGTGGTTCTGTATGGGATGCGTTGACAGAACATGGAAAACAGAAACATGCAATTCAGGATGGGAAAAGGCAGCGAGGAGACAACAATCTAAGTAAAGCTGTGAAAACAATGAACTGTGCTGCCATGTCCACACAAAGTGACGTTACTAGTTCCACTGACGAGGGTCACAAGAAAACTTCTGGATTCTAACTTACTACGTTGCTTTGTTTGTGTGGACATAAGAGCACAGTTAATATAATTGTTTTCATATTCAAGATGGGAACAAATACATGTACATGTACTTCACTTGTGCCCATGGTAACATTATATGCATGGTTTGCTGCAATGTGTTCCCATACATGACTTCAATGCACGCAGGGCCAACAGAGCTCTCGAGCAACATGGCACCTTCTACAAATGAATGCGGCAGTGACCTCAATGCCGTGACCCTTACTCACCTTCCACTGCTGTCTGGAGAATGGTATTGGGTGAGGTGCATACATCTTGGTATCGGCCGGTTTGTGGGACTGGATCCGATGTGAACAGATGGAAGGTTACCTGCAAATCAGTCATGGACACCAGCACATCATATCCATTCAATTACATCATAGCCAATCAATTACATCATCGGCAACAGAAAACATTACGTGCTATAATCATGCTGCTAGTGTCCCATGGGTAGGCTCCACTTCTGTGCTTGCTAGAATTTGCACTTTCAAGAACATGAAGTTACGCTACATAATCATAATACTGTGACAGTTCGGTTCTGCTTAGCTCAGTAGTTATACTGCTATTTCTGGTGATACATAATTAGCAAATACAGCTAGCTGCACGTAGCATTGAGCAGACAATGATTTTTGAGGAGGTACACCCCCCCCCCCCCCCCACCTCTCTCTCTCTCTCTCTCTCTATCTATCTATCTATCTATTTCTTTCTTCACTTAGGTTGAATACTGCCACATAATTATAGTATCAGCACCGAGAGTCATCCTACCAACACTAATTCTGTCACTTTAGTGACTTGGGAAGGTCCATGGCAAAACTTACATAGGCTATATATGTGTTGCCTGCGGTAATATCCACATTGATGTCCGTTGTGAGAGAGTTCTCTGAGTCAACCTGCAGGTAATGGCCATGAATGCAAGAACACGCACCTGTCAGCAAAACTGCCTCAAGAAACAGGATGTGCATCGCAATAATAAGTCCATCAGCTGCTCATGGTATCAACACAGTGCAGAGGAAACCACCTGAGCACCCCTGAGCACCCTTTACGCATCTTGTTGCCTTTCATGTGTTGCACACACAGTTCAAATCTATAGTGCCATTTTGTTTGGCTTTCCCATACCATATGCGACCCCAAGTAAAATTGGGATGGGAATAGATATTGCTATGAAGTTATCCGATTATTTCAAGGCCAGGCTGACCCTATCATGGATCCTGTACCAAAAGACATGCACAATAAAGCCTAAAAGTAAAGCCTAGTTCACGTTCACATCTATCCTGATAGTGGCTTCAAACTGAAACACCCCGGGAACAGCAATCCGTCCATGGATAAGGGTTGCACTTACCCTGATAGGATCCAAGGAGGGTATCAAAACCCTGGGAGCCGCTTGACTGTAGCTCAGATCAAACAGTCCGACAGTGAACTGACCCAGAGAGGAGACAAAGTCATACACGGGCAAGGTCTGATTAAAGCTCCACCAGCCCCACTTGATCGATATGCCTCGACTGCCAACGGGTCCGGCCGAAATGGTCACGTTGAGATCGTGGCGGATGTTATAGAACAGACATAACCGCTTGCTTTCATCAGGTGGCGGCCTCACATTTCCTGAAACAGAACAAGATCAACAACGGGATGATGTTACAAACCTGGGTGAGCTGGTAGTACATCGGAAACTAAGGTTATGACCAGCCTAACTTCCCACTTATGAACATACATGTAGGTGGAAGAGGAGGTCCTGGAATTCTTATCTTGCACATCAAAACAATAAATAGAATTCAGAGAACAGTCGTGACTGCCTTCTCCCAGTGTGGGAAGGCCAATACGGTGGAGATGAAGTTCCAACTAAAAAATCCGAAATAATCACTCCTAAACTGAGATGTTTATCAATGTTCTGTCCTCACCTCGGATATAATGGTCCTCCAGGATGGTGGTGCTGCCATTTACGGCTTCACCATTTGGCAACATTGGTGTGATCTGAGCATGAGCAGAAAGATTCCGCATAGGAAATCAACTACAAGCCAGTGCCCTATCCGGTGCAATTGTTAGCAGGATGTAGTCCTATTAACCAGGATGTCATTCTGTCACATGCCGGTTTGATGTTCGGCGGCATCCAACACTGCTGATGCTTGTGAGCGATCTCAAGGATGTAAGAAATTCAAAGTATAATTATCAAGTACCAGTAATAGCACTTGGAAAATCACAAAGGAGCCATGCAAGAAAAGTACAATAGTATGACAGTGGACACATCTGTTCTGTACTTTGACCATATCTTACCATGATATCATAGTCACAATCAAAGTCTAATCCACCGCCAAGCATTTCAATAATGACGAAATCCTGCAGCCAATCAAATACGTGTGGAAATGTAATGAAGACGAGTCAGCAATTTACATGGACATTGGAGGGAACGTGTAGACTTAAGCAGATAACATAAACTATGTATTCACTGCCCGGCTACGGACAGATGAGTCAAAGCAGTCTTGCCATTCAAAGCCTGCATGTCATACTGCTTACCTACATGATGTATTTAATGGGGCTACACTCAAGACTAGTCTAGAGAGCTATGTACTAGATGTGCAAATCTATGTCCCATCCCAGACGTTCTTTATCTGGCTTGCTGCTTTGACCATCACCTTAGATTTGGAAAAAGGTTAAGAATTGGGTGCTTCGTTCTATGACCCAAGGGGAATCAATCACAGTGTTTGTGATCGATATTGCAGGTATGGAGACTGGATTGGTTTTTCACTGTGCATCTTGTTAATTTTTGGGAGAAGATACAAAACAGTGGTGCCATATTTTAGTAAGTCGCTTGGAAGCGGAGTATGCGAGTATATGCTGTAGATGGCTACTTGTAGAAGGAGTCCTGTACTACCACACTGTTAAACTAACAGAATGCTAAACTATCGTGGTTGGATTCACCCTCCCTTTCTTGTATTGGCTATGTATTATTATGTGCCATGAAGTGGTGACGATAAATAAATAAATAAAAAATCCAATAAAAACACACCAATACGACCATTGTCTGTCTCTGCTGTAACGAAACCTGGATGTCGAATTCCACAGATATTGATACATGGTTTCCGGGGACTAATCTCGGGGCATTCGTGACGGCATGACTGGTGAACGGACCTGTGACTGCTGACAGTGCCATGGCTGGCTACGGAGTCCAACGTGCATCATGTCAACAAGTTACACTCCGACACAATACAGTCACACTTACTGTTATCGTATGGCGTCTTATATAGCGTGTGCATGCATCGTTTCCACGTGGGATGGACGTGTCCTCGTGTTCCACAACAACACTGTACTGACGAGCAGCCGTGTAGCCGTCTGAAAACATCAAAGCAAAAACAAGAAAAAAATCTTCAGCGGCAGGAAAGCTGAATAGGTCTCAGGTTAGGAGGAAAAATCATGTGTGACGTACCCTGGTGCAACGCAGTCTCCTATACAAAGGATACTCAAATTAGCGCATTACAAGCCACAAACACACACACACACAAACACACGTAAAGATCGCAATTGCGCGTGACATTGTACAGTCTGTTGGTGGTGCAGTACTGTATGTGTTCTGTAATCTCAGCCTCCCACCCCATCGGATCATATTGGTGTATGGGCTGCAACTTGATGCTGTTCCTGTCACTGTCTTTGCTGTTGCTGCTGCTGCTGCTGCGACTGCATGTCCTCACTGGAGTCGCATGATCACGCATATCGCACTAAAGGCCAGCAGTGCACATGTGATGTAAGGTCTCCTATAATATTATAGTTATGGTGACACCGCATCCGTCTCTTACCATCTTCATCTGAGCTCCATGAAATGTTAACAAAGGTCCTCCTGTCAAGTGCGCTGTAGAACGTTTTGCTCACCATGATGTCTGAGACCGGGCCTGGAAGAAGAACTGAAAACAGGAAGAAGATGCAAAAAACTGAGATCCTACCCTATCACATAGTACAGTCTGTATCGGCTATAGCGTACCCTTTTGATTTCCGTGATTTTATCACTATAACCGATGCATCACTATATGCGATACGACCGATTTTTTTCTTTTTTCCGATCGACACATGAAAGGGAAGGAAATACTTCCAGCATGACGTTTTGACAAATGAGCATGCTGCATAGTTGACAGTGCCCGCATTTCCATACAAAAAATTCTGTTATGTACATGTACATGTATCACTATACTCAATCTGCGGACAGCATGCTGTTTCGTTCTTTGTGAACTCATCAGCGCAGTATCACTATAAAAATAAGCAACGTGAAGAAAGTAAAAAAATAGGGCCTTTGATATTATTGCTACATGTATTTTAAAGTTATCACTATAGCCGATAATAATATAGTGTGTTATGCATGTTTTGATTCTTTGTTGCCATCATAATATCCGATATATCATTACATCCGATAATATTGGTTATAGTGATACTTGTACTGGGTAAAACACGTTTTGCTTTTGATATTTCGCACCAATATCACTGTAGCCGATATATTCTTATATCCGGTCACTCTATAGCCGATACAGACTGTAATCAGAAATTCTATAGCGACTCAATGTCCTAGATGTACTAAGCAATCATGTCACATGACTCAATGTCCTAGATGTACTAAGCAATCATGTCACATGACTCAATGTCCTAGATGTACTAAGCAATCATGTCACATGACTCAATGTCCTAGATGTAGGCCTAGCCCAAATTTGCTCGGGGCGCCTCGATATTTTGCTGGCAAATTTTGCCCAAGCACTTTCCATATTTTGCCTGGCATTGCCTTTCGTTTCCGATATTTTGCTCCATTTTGCTCCTGCTTTGTGGCAAAAATGGCTTCGAATGAACCGTCTACTTTGGTAAAAGTGGATGGTGACTCTGATGAGGGAAGCAAAACTGAAAATGGTGTCAGTATTACGGATTTTGCAGCATGATTTCAAATTGATGTACCCCTGACAACCTGCAAGAGCTACTTTAGCACGACGTTGGCCCAGTGAAACCAAAGAAATTTGAATAAAATTGCCAAAACACGCCTGGATCCTCTGTAAATTCGATATTTTGCTCGGAATTTGCCAGCAATTTCTTTTCGTGAGAAATTTCGATATTTTGCTGGAAGAATTGCCGGCAAATTTGGGCTAGACCTACCTAGATGTACTAAGCAATCATGTCACATGACTCAATGTCCTAGATGTACTAAGCAATCATGTCACATGCTTTGGAAATTGAGGAAAACACAATAACTTAGCATATCAATTATAGGGTAGGCAGTGAGCATGATCAGTGAGCATGATCTGACTATTCTGAAACCAAACGTACCATACCAAATAGACCCAAGCAATAGTTGTTATGCTCACGATCAGACTCATCGTAATATGGAGGGAGACAGACAGACAGACGGACGGACGGACGGACGGACGGACGGACGGACGGACGGACGGACGGACGGACGGACGGACGGACGGACGGACGGACGGACGGACGGACGGACGGACAGACAGACAGACAGAAAAAAAGAGAGAGAGAGAAAGAGAGAGAGAGAGAGAGAGAGAGAGAGACTCACCAGATGCTGGACTGAAACCTGAAGTGCCTGCAGCGGAGACCTGTGCTATGTGCACTTGCTGGCCGAGAGATGCTGAATTCGCCGGCACTTCCGCACTGAACTCGCCGATAGCCTGTTAATATTTGATACACAGTTTCAAGCAAACCAGACAAACTCCTTCATTGTGCATTGGTGTTCATTGCTGGCCCCGTCTCTCTCCTTCCTTACTAGGCATTAAGCACCCTATTTTACTTGCTCTACGTCGACTTAGTATTACCTAAAACCTAACTAAAAGGGGGTTAGTCGGCTTACAGCCAGGGGTTTTAACCGGCATTGACCCGGAGAGATTGAGGCTCCATATATGGGGGGGGGGGGGGTACTTGTATAACCAGATTTGACTTATGACTAGTGAAATTGGGTAGGCACTGGTACCCATGCTCATGCAAGTTAAACATTTTTAAATATTCATTTCCAGAGTTCCACTAATTCCACAGGTGACAAATTACCTATTGTCCTGAAGGCAGTAAGAGGCATATGTTGTTTTTTAATATGCTACAGACCAGTACAAACATCTTCAGGCATTACCACTTAGGATGGCAGACTACAGTACGGAAAACTGAAGTAGTTCAAGAAACAACAGCAACAAGAGAATTATGTCCCAAACTCTGTGATGAATGTGTTCATTTTCATACTGCATACATATGCAGGGCCTGAATATTCATTATGATTTGGGGATGGCACCTTGTCATAAGCGTGAGAGCGCTAACTAGAGCAACAGTGGAAAGTCTGAAGTGCCTATCAAATTGGAGAGATGTGGTCCCATAAAACATAATGTCCACATTATCCCAGTGTAGTGAACTTACCAACAGGTAGACCATGCTGGTGAAGGTACTGTCGCATGGTACACTGCTCGATATGCACACCAGATACGTATCTGTCGCAATTTGAAACGGTGTCTGCCAGGTCATGGAGATCCGTTGACCGGTGATGTTCCATCTGGTGTGCGGAGAGCGCTGGAGAGCATCTCGCGGCATGTCTAGAAAAGAAGAAAAAGCAAAAATGCACCAAGAAATTCCCAAAATTCACTCAAAGCCACTTTTGCTGGTCTAATCCTTGAGACGTGCGGATCTGAAAAAGGTATTTCTTCCATTTCACTTAAAAAGGATCGACTAAAAATGCAATTTCACAACTATGTGGATTTACATATACTAGTACAAGGAAAGCAACTGTGCGCATCTGCGTGACACAATAGTTCTGCTACCAAAGTAGTATTGTAATTATAACACTACTTTGGTAGCAGAACTCAAAGCAAGAAATATAAGCATTCTGGTAGGCGCCCATCTTGATCTAGCCGCGGGCCTTACCCGAAGAAGAGAAGAACGAACAGGCAACCGTACAAAACGCTGCAGTCCCCTGAAGAAAGAACCAAGAAACAAATTTGCCACCAGCATGAAACATTGCGATTCATCCAGGAAATAAGAATATCTGTCTTCAATTATTCCACATCCAGTATGTCCATATAACATTATCAGTATGACTACCTGGCAATGAAAAACGTTTCCAAGCAGAACTGTATTTGTGTGGTGTGTGAATGTGGCTGCAAATACTCCAGCTTGTATGGTCAGGCTGAGGAAGTCAATGCATAGCAAGCAGGGGTACTTACACATTCTCCCAAGCATGTGGTTTGATCAGTGAGGCGAAAGCGCGTTCCATCCTCCAGGCAAAAAGCCGTGCACTAAAACAAGGCAGAACAATCGACATCAAAATAATATTATATATTATAGAGCACAGAGGAAATATGCTTTGGTTCTGCAATGCCTGATTCAGGCAGAGCGGCGTACACAAAGGCACACAATGAAAACCTTGGCAAATTAATTCCGTTGTGACTCAGAGTTTCATGGCTGAACCAATCATCAGACAACAATGTCTGATGATTGGTTCAGCCATGAAACTCTGAGTCACAACGGAATTAATTTGCCAAGGTTTTCATTGTGTGCCTTTGTGTATTATATATTATATTATGTTTTATGTTAGCATCCTTGCCACGGTTATCTATCAGTATTGATGCTTGCTATGATATGACAATACTTTGAGGTATACCAGGTATCGCCTCACCGTATTGCTAAGATGTTTTGTCTGACACAAGGCACATAGGGTGATGATATACCATGCACGAGATTTGGGATCTGAGAAGCAACATTTGCTTCTGTAGCCCGGACATGATACAATACAGTCATTTTGTTTCCATTACACAATGCTGTAGCACTTACCATAATGCAGGTTTGGTTAGCATTGCAAACCTGCTCCACTGACTGGGTACCGGTTACTTTTATCTGGATAGCAATGGAAGGGGGGTTAACAACAACAGGAATGGCGCACATCACTTAAATTGAATTGCCGGTCGTATTACTATTTACTGATTGCTGGCCAGTAGTTATCTCCACCATAATGCAATTTCATAACATTGACACACCGCTTTATGGTGCAATATACAGTAGGGTCTTCTCTCCTTCTGGATTTTCTCGCTGCCATTGGGGTTCAATTTCACTGACTATATCTTTGGTTCACAAGTCTCCTCGTGCATGGTATTCGCGGATTTCATATGCCTGTGCTGTGGGGTGTGGGTATACACATGCAGTAGTTTGAGAGTTCCTGGGGGGTGGGGGGGCAGCTGGCTCAAGAGAGCACACTAGAAATCCCTACAGGCCAGTGACTGGGTCAGGCTCATCATCATCTAGCTGCATCTATGTTCTTATTTTAAATCCAGTATCGCATGTCTCCCTGACTCCTGTAGTGCAGATAAAGTACTGGATGTAAGAAGTGAGTTACTCAGCAGCGAGGGCACAGACTCCCCAGACAGTAAGTAAGCATCCCCAACTGAAGCATGCCAACTTGGCTCGCGCCAAAAGTATGGCAGCTTCTATGGGGGCATGGGATGGTGGGCCTTCTTTGGGATGGAGGCTGTGGTGGTATGTGAGCATGCTAGCTAGAGTGTGCGTGTGTACGTGTGTAGAGTTGGCTGCGCGATGGGCAGTGCAGTGTGGCCAAACAGTGTCAAGGAGATTACATTAATCAACAAGCACACTTCACAGGAAATTGCCCAGTTGTGGGGGTGCAAGTGAGAGGATCACTTTCTGCAACTCGGCAATGTTGGTACACAATCCTTTGCCAGAGGGCCTAGGGGGAGCGTGATCTTCATCATTTCTATCACTGCCACTTCTAGCACTAGGAAGTGTGAGTTTCACCCCAGAAAGACCACAGTCATAATAATCGCAGCACAGTAATGCACTAATGCAAGCAGGAACATGCACATGCAAATGCACACACACCATGTACACACACACACACACACACACACACACACACACACAGTCACACGCGCGCGCGCGCACACACACACACACACACACACACACACACACACACACAACACACACACACACACACACACAGGCGATATCTTTGAGTAGGATTTCTTGCCTGAAGGCTATGACCCAACATACTTGGGACTTTTGGCTGGCATGGCACACTTCAGCCGATACACAACTTTGATAATAAACTGAACCAATGCCACGCACCTGAGGCACAGTGCTATGATGGCACTTGCTGTCAGCTTAGCCTCTTACCATTACTAGCATATGCCACCACAACCACTAATGTTACCTAATTAACCACTTCAGTAGCTGTGACAGCAACAAGTAAGTTTCTGAACATGACTGCATGGCAATTGCCCTCATTTACACTCCATACAGATCCTCCTGACCAACTAACTACAGCAGTCACTGAGTGCCTGGTCACAGAGTGATCAATAGTGACCACTCTCTGCGCTCAGTACTAGCTACATAGTGACCTCTCTCTGTGCTCAGTACTAGCTACATGAACAATTACATGCCAGTTGTACTACCATAGTGCTTACCTTGGACAGGCAATAAGTGAATGTAAAAAAAATGTTAAAAGGTGCAGAAGCCTTACATTCCCATACTGCCATAGTCATCAGTTCTACAATACAGCACTGCATACAATCAGGCAACTGCACTAAGTTACTGTCTTTATTGTGCATACGTCCACTGTTCAATGCAGTCGTGCTTCAAACTTCTCATCTACCATCTCCATCCCAACAAAAACATAATGATACAGCTGACTTGAACATGCTACTCAACTCACATCTTCCATTTGAATTCTGCATGTTGACCACAGATCATTATCGCTTCCCCAGTATTGCCGTCTAGTTCTAGGTTAGCACTGGGTTTGGCTGCGACAACAATATTATAGATTACAGGCTGATCATTGAATAACAATCATGAATCATGCCCTCTCCAGTCAAAGACAATGGTTACTGGTAAGACTAGCATGACTCAACATGTCTACATCACAAAATGCAGTTAGCATGGTCAACCCAACGGCTCTGGCTGGTACTAGTATTTTCAAACTGTTATGGTAATGGAAAGCACACTTGGATGCGGTATAAATACTGTTCTGCTGACCATGCGGTACTGCCAGTAGCCGCAGCAACATCCTGGAAACAATACTGGGCTGACAATGTCAGTGTCAAAACTCAGAAGTACATGACTGTACAGTTCTCAAGTTCTTGGACACCTGTACTGTAGACTGTAGCCATGGACATAATCTAGCCCCTGAAACCCCTGAAACCCTATACAAATGCCAACCATGAGTTTCCAGCTAATCTGCTGCCACCATGTGTACCAAGGCACCATCTGGAAACAGGGATCGCCCACCACTAGCATCCGGACCCGTGAGTGCTTGTGGCAAGAAAACCTGTATGACGATTGTGTAGACAGATCCGAGAATGACTATGTCACAGCGCCAGGCCGACCCATGTCACAAGTCACTGTTGTAACACGTACTATAACACGTACATGTACTATACCAAGTACGTATTCAGTTATTTCACTTATTTGTAGCGGCTTTTCTGGTCTACGTGCACGTATCGCTCTCTCATATCGATATCGATGTCCTAGATCCTGCTTCCGCCGAAACCGTGCTACGCCTGAAACTCGTGCAGAAGAGTGCTCACGTCAGCGGACGGATCCACAGACGAAGTATCAACGGGCAAGTGTTAGTTGGCCTGCGCGGTGTTTTCAAAATAAACGAAAGTAGCAAATGTCACCCAGCGGGTGCTTTTGTTTCCTTCTGCTTGCGGTGTTTTGCGGAAGGACGGTTGCGCTCATCATGCAGCAGCACCTAAGCTTGACTAGCTACGTAGCGAACGGAGATTTTAATTATGTACAATGTACACCCATGGTTCGACTCACCTCTCCAAGACATGCAGAAACGCATCTTGCCTGTTGCACTGTGGCCCGTCGCTGCAACAGCCTGCTGCTTCCATTGCTGCTGTCAATAAATGTTGCGCTGATGAGGATGACCAGCAGGAAAAGGTCTGATGCAGAGCCGAATAGCGCCACTCCCCTGTCTGAACACCGGCTGGTGGGGCGCATGGCGGACAGTAAGCGCTCGGACACCAACGTCCGCTTGCCGGAGGCGGGAAGACAGAGGAGGAAAATATCTCTTTCTCCTCACAATGAGGAAGTGTGCGTAAACACAACCAAGAAAACTACGTTTCGTGAATACCGTCGACAGACATTTGTCAAAGCAGATCGGCGAGCCCGCTCAGCAGCTTCAGTGCTCAATCAGCATGCAGCAGAAATTTTCTAATCTTTCATGACGCTCCCATCTCACCAATGCCCCAAAGCGTAGATCTACACACGGAAAATCCGCACTTGAGGAGTGCACACGCGCATATGCGCATTCACACAGCCATCAATCACTGGCTTTGTGTGACCTTCCTTGGATGTGAATGGCTATGAAAACAGTCCCGACCTCTCCCTGCGTATATCGCGCCCACACAAACAAGTCATTGCGCCCTCTGACCGAGTCTAGGAGCGTAACATTTGGGCAAAGGATGTGCAAAGCGAAAGCAAGCAAGAATCAGCAATCAGAGTCAGAGTGTTCGCCAGTGCAGTGGCCTTTGCTCCAGCAGTAGCCAGTACTCCTAGATCCTGCCGGCTCAGCACTTAGCCACGTCGAGTGCCGTTGCACCCCTCGCCACGCTAAAGAGTGAAAGTCGTGTTGTGACACGACGGCTACTTCAAGGCTTCATCTGTACGAGTATGGCTGTGAGCTTCGGAGTGCTCTCATTGGCACTGGAGCAGGCGAAAACTTTGCAACGCTTCTTTGAGGTTCATGCACTGTAGCTGTAGAGCTGCCACTGCACTGTGTAGTCTACGACGTGTTGGTTTTTGCAGTTCCACTAGCAGCAGGATGTGGTGGAAATAAACCAGGATACGGCGGACGGCGCGGTCTTCCTCCTACACTTATCACACAATGAGACTCTGTGGCAACCCGAAAGAGCCAGATACTTGAGAACGGGTTCATTCTCAGCCAGATACTACAGATTCTCAGCCAGATACTACTTCACGAAATCGTGATGTTCTGTAGATCTACATGTACAATCATGTAGGTGATATTGTAAAATGGAAATGTGTGAGCAGAAAAGGTAACACTAGTCCTACTTCCTAGTGGTACTCAGGTGATGCTGTGAACGGATACCTTTCTCTCCCCATTCCCTGACTGCCGGATGACATTGAATTTGTTTCTCATCGTACAAAATGACTGAATGGCACGGCATTTACCCGATCCCAAAGTCGGCTACAAATGTAAACATTGTAAGCCCTTACACTTACACTTTTTTTACAGGCGATTTAGACTACGGCCAAAATCACGTGTGAACTTGAATTTCCATGGTGATGCAGTCGTGTTTCAAAATTCTATGCACAATCGCGGATTATAAGCAGGCAGGAAAAAACAGGAACACCATGGTTCTCGTCGAAAATGGCAATGCCAAGATTCAGACTAGCTTAGTAATAATAGCAGTGGAATCATACACAGTGGTGATTGCCACGATGAAACCGAGTGACCACATTCTACAACTGTATTAAATAGCCTTTCTAATTCAATCTGGTTAACTGTCCTCCGTATCCATATGCAGCAGCTGGTGTTGTGGTCACGCCTCACGGGTGGACTTGGAGTGCTCTAGACCAGGGCCCAATTCACCGCCTTGTAGATCCAAGGGCGTAATGACTATGCAGACTCTACGGTCTACCGTTAGATAGAACTACTTCACGTCACCAACAATGCATGCTGCATTGCTAGCTACATGTGGATTCTCACCGGCTGCCATTTGATTTGTTATTGTGTAGCTTTTTACGCGGGCCTCCAATATCCGTTTGGGGCTTACACGCACAATTACTGTTCATGTACTACGACATAAGACGTTTTTACATGTACATGACTTGCGCCTATGACAATGTGTCGTCCGACAAAACATGGAAACGAAGTGGTGGAGCTCAAAAACAGACATCATCTGATATTGATACACTGACATGGCTGAACTAAATTACTTTGAATGCTCCCTGATAGGAATCATCAACCGTGAATGAACAATGACCCAATAGTACAACCATCAACAATCGGGTTTGAACCTCCATCAATCGATTCGTTCATCATGTGGAGGTATTTAAAGTCTTGTAGAAATTACTTACTTAGAGTTAGAGTCTCGCTCATGCGATCGAGGTTGCACTGACGTCTGACTGTCGGTGAGCATCTAGGTCTCCAGTCCTGTCCCTGTTTGGGTATTACCCCTTTGAGGTGCCACTGAACGCGTGAAAATACGCAATTGCAGTTCACTCCACCATTTCCACCATAACTTACGTTCTGTTTGCTTGATTTGACAATCTAGGGCTCTTTCCGCTACCAAGAGAATAACTTTAAGGCCACGCTCAACTCCGTGGATGCCACAAAGCCTGCTCCAGAGCGCAGCGAATCGCTATAGGTCGGGCCTCGTGGTGAAAGAAATACTTCTAAATTTCATCCCAATGCCATTTCGCAGTTACTTACACGTATAGTATTATACAGTCAGGTCATACTGATTATGATGACCCGACTTTACTTTTCTCTTGGGTGACTATGAGTGACTAGACAGGATATAGTCAATCACGTACATGTATGGGATAAGAACTGATACACTGTATTACCGCGGAAGTCATATCTTAGGTAATAATTATAGTGTATTTTTATGTGGCTGCTCCAAAATGTATTGTTGGAGCTCGCGTTTCCTGCCGAATGACCCGAGACTCCCGTCTGAAGCACACGAGAAGCACGTCGAGCCTTAACCCCTCATCAGTTGAGCTTGGGTGGACGAGTGAAATTTGTGCTCGGAGATCACTGCATCATACGTGTAACGTTGTGCAGTGCTCTCCGAGCCAAACCATTAACCATCACTTGGGATACCAACTATATTGTAATTACCAGTAGTTACAGAGAGTCAGAGGCGCTCCGTTTCCAGCGCGACAAACCGTGCCTCCTGAGTCCTGAGAATCAGGGAACAGCAGAAGTCAGTGTCACGCATCTAATCTTGTGACAAGATGTTGTGAGAACAGACACCGAGGGTCACTGGGTCACTGACCATCCGCACCGCTGTCTCAAACCAGTGAGTCACATTCCCAGTGCAGGTAGTGCCGAGGTAAGCGCTAGCTCCAACGTTCGCAGCAGCCACTTTCTTCACAGATGTACTAAGATATACAAACAATAGGAGGACAGAGAAAGTGTTTTAACTCCGAGTTTCACGCACTATAATTAAAGCGATCATCAGAAAACAATTTTCTGATGATCGCTTAATGCGTGAAACTCGGAGTAAAAACACTTTCTCTGTCCTCATATTGTTTGAACCAGCTCTACCACTCGGTATTGAGCACTCTCTTGGACAGCCTGGAACCTCTCCTCTCTGTTTTACTAAGATATACATGTAGCCCTTGGCGGATTCTGCTCGAACGAAAAAGTGGCAGATTCGTCTCGAAAAGCAGTGAAATTGGCACGACGCAGCTCACCAGATCAAGGTGTGGGTCATCTGCACTCAGTAGAGTCAAGTCGAGCGAGCTGCAACTCCCGGTGCCGAAAGGCGGGCTCACGCCCCGACATGGCTACTTCTAGGCCTCCGCGGAATATGCTCGTATTTTTACCGATAATTCCTTTGAGCATTGCTCAAAATTTCGACCGATTATTCCCGTAATCCTGGTAATTCGACCAATAATTCTCACAATAATGCTTTTTTCTTCCCCTTTTTTTGCAGATGCCGTACCGCGTACGGGTTTTTTTGCCACTTGTATGGGCAAAAAATCACGGTTCGCGTGAAACTCGGCTGGAAGCTTTTTCTTTCTTTCTTTTTTGAAATACCGGGCGATCAACTTCAGGATCACAAGCTTTTTGGTACAAATCAGGGTGTTACATGATGATGGAGGCAATGTATAAATGGAAAAAAATGAAAAAGGGGGGCATTGCTCAAATTTTACCGATTATTCCACAAAAATTGCTAATAATTCCCGTTTTAAAAATCACACCGATAATTCCCAAAATTATGCCGGCACATTCCGCGGAGGCCTAGCTACATGTACTTCCCCTTGTCTAACCCCCAAGACGAAATGATAGAAGCCCACTGGCCGAAATTAAAAAAAAAAAAAAAAAAAATTGGCAGAACCATGCACACCTTATGACAGGCACATCCTTGAATTCTCCTCCTCTTCTTTCTCCACATACCAAAACATGCATGAAACATACCAGAAAAACAGTACCAAACTCTGCTGATTTTTCTGCCGCCAGTATCCATCAAGGGCTACCACAATGTAAGATGTCGCTACTTCGACGGCAAAAGTCTTGGTGCCGCCGAAGTCGCGACATCTTACTTCTTTACTACAATCATGTACAGCCTACATGACTGTCATGTACATGTTTTCGATTTCGACAGCATGTTACATGTTACAAGGCGAGGACGCACAGTATCGAAAAAGTAGTAGTACTCAGTAGTAGTAGATACAAGTACTAGGACAATCATGGTAATACCATGATATTATTAATAATTTTTGGTTTTGTTGTTTGTTTGAATGTTTTGCTTTAATTTACTGTGTAAACATGCTGACTGTGTTTTATCCATGTTAGGATGGGGGCTATTTGATCGCGGCTTTTTAGTGGTTTCTATCTCATGTTTTTCAATGTGTGAGACTTCATTCACCATTAATTTTTTCTCTAAACAATCGACGAGGAGACAATAGTCGTAAAATGGCAATAAATAAGATAAATTGTGCACTCATAACAACAGCAAAAATGAAGAAAGTCAAGTTCCATAACGTGTTCTTGTGACTGTCATCAGTGGAACGCCGTCACATAAAAATGTAATAACTAAAACACACACTTACATGTATATACATGTAGCTTATATGGTTTCAGGTAGAAATACAGCAGCTAACAAGTACAAAAATATATCCATCATCACTCTTAGCAAAACTGCTCACGAGCAAAGAGCCGCGGAAGGAACAAAAAATCGGGCCAACACCGTGTCGGGTGTTCTTATGCCTGCCTTGTAAAGGCTCTGAATCAACAAAAGTCAGTCGTGCAGTGAAATCGATCGTGCAAAAGACATACTATGCAGTGAATGTAGTTACTGTCTTTACAACGGTGCGTTCGTTCACAGTGTTGAAGGACGTCCTGCCAACCCACCATTTGAGCAAATCTCATTTATCAATTTGAATGCCGACAATGTGGTAGTCGGTATGTTGGCAGGACGCTTCAACACTTGTCCGAACGCATCAAGCAGCACGTCCCATTATCATTGTTGTCCCAGGCTGCCAGATTAAGCAGGCCGAAGCGTGGGAGGCCACGGAAACATCCGCTGCCTATTTCTACACCTAGCACGGCTCACAATTCGGAAACAGAAACACCGACTACTTCCATGGAGAACGAGCAGACTAATCTGGTTCCCCCCTCGGAAACCGGACCACGGCAAGAGAGGCCGCCGGACGGTCGCTCCTCGACAAACCATGTTGCTACAACGGTAAGAGCGGAAGGGGAACAACTTGAAAACAGAGCAGAACCGAGGAGAAGCAAGAGACTAGCAGAGGCACGACTGAGACAAGTGGAGAACACAAGGCAAGGAGACGCAGGAGGAAGCACAGGCACGGCACAGAACGAATCAAGGAGAGGGAAGCGGTGTCGCGAGGAGATGGAGACTGATGACGACGAATACGAGTGCGATGGGATGGACGGCGGCATTGGAATGGAGGTGGAGGATGAGAGTAGTGATGAGGAGGAGTTTGATGTTGACAAGAGGAAGTCCGCAGTGTACAAGCATTTGGTGTCCAGTCCAGAATGTCGTGAGGTGTTTGACGATTCCTGGTTTAGTGTTATTCGTTGCGCACGTTTCTTCAAGCAGGTGTTGGAAGCTGTGTATATTCGTACTCGTGACCCTGTGCTATGTAAACAGAAAGAAAACGTTGTATCACTCACACTCTTCAAGTAATACACACGCACCATTACATTCATTCACACAGTATCACATTCATCTGCCACTACCTTTCTCACATACACTATATTCACACATTGCAAAGGTGCAAATTTCGCTTTTTGTACTTGTTAGCTGCTGTATTTCTACCTGAAACCATATAAGCTACATGTATATAAGTGTGTGTTTTAGTTATTACATTTTTATGTGACGGCGTTCCACTGATGACAGTCACAAGAAAACGTTATGGAACTTGACTTTCTTCATTTTTGCTGTTGTTATGAGTGCACAATTTATCTTATTTATTGCCAATTTTTTCTCTTTCTCTTTTTTTCTTCTTTTTAGAAAATTGGGTGTTTCTCGCTTACTTTCATTTGCTGTTGCTTTATACATGTACCTTCTCTTTGATGGTTTCTGTTGCTCATTTGGATTGAAATAAATACTAGGACAAGGTTAGAGGTGATAGTGTTGCTCCAATGGTCAATGGCCATCACTGCGTCTGTTCTCACATCTCCATGTGCGACACTGCTGCTCCCTGCTGCTCGTGAGGTGTTTGCCGCGCTGGATACGGTACGGAGCGTCGCTTTTTAAAAGTTGGCATCCCAAGGGAAGGTTTGGCTTGGCTCGGAGAGCATGCACTACATAAATGCAGCCTCAGAGCACAAATTCCATCGTCCTACCGAAACCGGCTCAACTGATGAGGTTGTAGTATGAATACGCGGAAGTACAACAACAGCTAACAGCGAGACCAAACCAGTGCAGCGTTCATGAGACATCATGCGTCCATGCATCCCATGACCTATGAGTCTGACGTATGAAGTAACTTCATACGTAACTTAGTTAGTTATGAAGTATTAGTTATGAGGCTATGTTACAGTATGTAGCCTATTCTTGCAAGACTTGGCGGTATCACCATGATCACCGCCACTGCACCATCATGATCATGACGGAATTTGTGGTCTACTGAACTGGCTGAAGCCAGCCAGCTGCTTTCATTGCATCGCGCCATGATAAGAATAATGACCAAGAACTAACTATTACTTACATGACTGTAGTCTACATGTAATGATGTAGGTGTTACCAAGAGTACATAACCCCGTGGGGTTATGTACTCTTGCCTTGGTGTTACAGACAGTACAGTCAGTGTTGGATTGTACATGTTGTTAGCGGCAATAGTGTTTACTGTTAGTTTTTTTTCACGTGACTCGTACATGTAGATCTACATGTACGTACTTGTACGTGAGTTCCTGTCGGCCACGTCCTCACGATCACACGCGTGGCTTCCGTGGAGAATCTTTTCGGGATCAACCACACTAATTACTTACCACGACATGATTGTGGGTTGTCGATGACTGCCTTTACGGCTTTAGCGCGGTTCGTTGAGCAGGTTCTTGCTCAAAAACACCGTTGAAAAAAGTCACGAAGTTTTGTATACGGAGGAAGTACATGATTGTACATGATCGTGTTCAATTTTAAAGAGTCAAGTCTTTTAATTGAACACGATCATGTACAATCACTTTTTTCAACGGCGTTTTTGAGCAAGAACCTGCTCAAAGAACCGCGCTAAAGCCGTAAAGGCAGTCATCGACAACCCACAATCATGTCGTGGTAAGTACTTACAGTTTGGTTGATCCCGAAAAGATTCTCCAGTGATCTACGTGTGAAGACTCTACGTGTCGTGTCCATCAATGCATCATCCAGCCAGGCCGGGTCCTGACCTGAGACTGATGAGTGATGAGGCCCTTGAAAAGTTGAAGTAGTTGAGCCTTGAGGGAGTCGTACTTGAAGACCATGATGACACTGTGTAGTTGGGTAAGTGGGTGGTCATGGCGACATTATCGTCATGGAGATTGTGTGATTTTCAAAGGCGAAACTGCACTCACGTCACAGGCTGCAGGCACATAGTACAAGTCATGCACAGACAGTCAGTGGATCCTGGAAGGCAGTGTGTACTCCACGAGGAATCGTCCGGAAAATGTTCTCTGCTCTGGTTCTGATCTGCACGGTGTCCATGGTGTCTGAACGCCGTCAATAAGGCTGCATCGGAGGCAAAATATAAATCAGGCAAACTCGCAAAGATGACACTCAGGTCAGGACGTGTCCTCAAAATGACTAAAATAATGATCCGCAGAACCAGTAGCAGCTGCAGTATACAGGAACACCATGATTGTGGATCTACACGTCAGGAACAGGTGCTGGGTCCTCGTAGCTCAATAACTCAAATAATTCGCAGGTAGCCGCTGGCGTGTGTGAAAGGATTACTCGAGCGCTGATCCACGCAAGATCCCCAATACAAAGTAGATCTACCAGGTGACTCAGTCTACTCCCGAATCGGAGACCGAGCTCAGCATTGGGCTGATTTAGAGTGCGGGCTAGCGAGGAACAAGGATGTGGGAATCACTGGGTGGCGGCGAGCGCAGCTACAGGACTACACGGTAAGTGTGACCGTGGCGTGTAGTCATGTTATAACATGATTGTACATGTATCCATCGCACAGGGGGGTCAGTGAATGTGTGCTCAGTGTGTACTACAATGTTTGAGAAATTCAGTCTTGGACATTTGCTTTTCAATTATCCTGAGCCAGGATTTTTACAGTGCTAAAAAAATGAATAGGCAGAGTGAATGATGGACGATATGCCATCAACCAGTGAGAAAATGGAAGATTGAATGAATTGAAGGCATTCTACATAGCCTGGCCAGAATGGATACGTTGCAGGACACAATTGGGATTTTCCAGTACCAAAATATGCACCCGGCTGAACACTAGCAAAGAGGGGTTTGAAAAGATGTGTATGATCCACACCCAAGTAAACATGTGGCGTTACGATTATGATCTGTCCAATGATGATTTTACAGTACATGTACATCATGAGGGCCTACATACATGTACATGTACATGGTATATATACTAATATAGAAGCATTGCTTGATAGTTTAACATGTTTTCGATTTCGACAGCATGTTACGAGACGAGGACGCACAATGCTCCTGACTACAAACATAACCCGGTTGGCAGAGTCCCGGTCTTGCGAACTTTTGAACCGTGTGGGGAACAAAGGCCCCGGTTCGGACCCTCTTTATTCTAGGGGGCGTGGTTGACTTTGGAACAACAACGTCAACAACAACACCACCACTACCACCACCAACAACAACAACAACATCTCTTATTGGCCACTGGCTATCGTGATAATAAAGATTTGAAACAACAACAACAACAACACAATATCAGCAAAAAAAGAAACTCGCAATCGGGCAGTGTGTTGAATCACTCCTTGGTGACTAGTTTGTCCTGTTTTTTCCTTGCTTGCAGGCGCCTGCAGCTGCCGAACATTGGTGCGGGAAGCATCACTGCGCAGGCCACACAACCGGACTCTGGCTTTGGAGACGACACGAACAGAGCCGCGTCCAGACGAAGTCCAAAGACCGAAGACGGAGGACGGTTTTCAGACCTGGGTATGGCAGTCCCTGCATGCATGTTCGCAACCGTGTGTTACATGAAGTACTTGCAGCACACTCTGACGGTAAACATGACGGCGTTCAGTGCATACAGTGAAATTCACACCTACCACTACGCACATGTACACTGATAAAATGTACACTTGCTCAGTGTACACTGATAAAATGTATACATCTTATCAGTGTACACTGATAAGATGTATACTTGCTCAGTGTACACTGATAAGATGTATACTTGCTCAGTGTACACCAGGGAGTCGTACTCAAACTAGGGAGGTGACACGGCACAGAAATCCGTGTCACAGGGGTTGACTCGCACCCGTGACCCCTCGTTGTTATTTTTGGAATAGTTCAGTCCAGTCCAGTCCGAAAGGTCATACTCGGATCGACTCGCCTTCTGTACTTCACCTCCAAGCGTGCCGCATGGGTGTCTAGTTTTTGAAATTATTGAGGCAGCACATTTCGTTTACAGCCCATCACTCGCCAGTATTCTTTGAAAGACTACCAGCAATTTGTTTAGCTCCTGCCATGTCCGAACTACTTGATAGCAGTGATGGCAACAGCAGCAGTTATGAAACGGTGTGTAGTGTTGCGGTAACTGTTCAGAACTTTTCAGAGTCGTATCCTAGGTTAATCCGAATACTAAAAATTGACCCAAATTGCACATAACACGAAGCTGGTTTTTGAAAATTGTAAGTCGTGTATCTGCCCCATTTCTTCTTTATGACTTGCACAATACACCAGTCTTCGTAAACAACACATTTATAGCAGGGGTTAAGTACCATACAAGAGAGCTACATTGTACATCTAGTCATACTGTCATAAACAGCCAGCATTTTTCCTGCAGCAGTCACACCACCATCATCATTATTTCCAGGGAAATCCTCTTACATTGTCAGCTCCTACGTCGTTAGATACAATAGGGGGCTGTAGGACCGGCTCGTCAAAAATAGAGAACCTGAACAAGCGTGCTCGGGACGTCTGAGCAATCGTAGTATGCCAGAGCACTCCAATAAAAACTTGATCAATGGCAAAATCGTTCCCCACAGAAAAATCATACTTTGCGGGTCTTGCGTTGCACGCTTGGAGGTGAAGTACAGAAGGCGAGTCGATCCGAGTATGACCTTTCGGACTGGACTGGACTGAACTATTCCAAAAATAACAACGAGGGGTCACGGGTGCGAGTCAACCCCTGTGACACGGATTTCTGTGCCGTGTCACCTCCCTAGTTTGAGTACGACTCCCTGGTGTACACTGATAAGATGTATACTTGCTCAGTGTATACGTACAGTATCGAGGCAGGCCGGAGGGCACGGGTGTATTGCTCCTTGTTGAAGTATGTTTGGGTTTGTTAAGGTACCTTGGATAGTGAGTGCACGTTGCTGTTGTCCGTGGGGTGTGTTTCATCAGACCCTCACCACCACCAGAACCGCCACTAGAACTAGCACTTACTGGAACCTGCCATGTTGTATTAAGCTAGCTAGAAAATTATCACACGATATGCAAGCTTTGGATCTCATTAGGTCATATAATGTACCGGTACAACATGATTAGATCGAAAGCTAGCATGTGTACACATTTTGCACAATGCATCACTGAAATATTTTCCAGGGTGTAACTTAGATATTGGTCTGCATCGTGTCTTTCCGTCGTACATAATGCAGGTCCCAGGAGAGCCGCTCTGCCAGCTCCTGCCGCTACCGTCATAACCAGTGACCTGGGTGATGCCGGCGAGATTCCCGGCGCTCGGCTCATGCACATTGAGAGTCGGCTGACGGCCACCGAGCGCAGCAACCGCGCCATGCTGGAGGAGCTGGTACGCTGGCAGAGCGAGCTGAAGGAGCAGACCCGGCACCAGGACGAGCTGCGTCGAGAAGAGCGGCGCGAGCTGCTCGAGGTGCGTGCCAACATGGCGTCGAACAACGATGACATCGTGCGCCTGAAGCACAAGATGCAGTCGGCGGAGGACCTGCTGACCAAGGTTCAGCTTGCCCAGCAGAATGCCAGAGACCAGATCAAGACCCTGCAGCAAGTGGTGAGTGCAATCAGAAGCTGATATCATGAAGCGTCATTGAATCAGAATCTTATGTCATGCAGCATGCAGCATCACGGAACGAAGCTGTACACATGGTCAAGATTCAATGGGTTTCTGTCTGCACATAATCCTGTGTGTGCTGTATCTTTTACCACAAGTTTCCCTCTCAATCATTTCAGTGAACGCATAAGAACACCTTTCGGAATGTGCTTGTGCGCGCAGGGAATTACTCACAAGCACTTGTATCCGTTGTGTGAACGGTTCTGCGCACCTCGTGTGCCTAGACTATTAGTGCAGTGACAGTGCCTACCTTTGTGTGGTGTGAAATGTTGTATTCTGTCTAAATTCTAATCCAAAGGTCATCGACAATAACCAGGCACACACGGCACGGCAGGATCAGATCTGCCTGCGTGTGGAGCGATGGCAGTCGGAAATTCAGCACACGCTGGACGACATCAGGCGTGGAGATGAAAAGTCGCAGCTCCGCGTGGCAAACCTCGTCGAGGAGGTGCGTCGAATACGATCTGCGCAGGAAAGTCATGCTGTAGAAGTCCAGTCAGCGGTAACTGAGGTGCGCACAAATCTGAAGCGCTGTGTGGCAGAGCAGCAAGGCCTGGTAAGTGACCAGAACTTCTTATGTATGATTGTTATCTGCTACCCAGCTCAGTGCTGCATCCATTAATCGGTGTGAATGACTATCCATGTCGGCTGGTTGGTTGATGAACAAGCAGGCACTTGGCCTAGTCGCATGATATTGGCAAAGTAAGTTTGTCAATCCTCCTTTGACATCACACTCTCAAAGGTATGATGGTACTGTACCTAATCATTTGCACACTGATCCTTGAGGCTGCTGGCGTTTTACGGATGCGTAAAAGTCAGTCGGCCTAACTCCGATGCAAACTGTAGGGCTGCCAACTGCTGGTAATCTAAGCGACTTCTCTTGTGACCACATAAGAACAGAATTAAATTTTGTGGTTCCATTGCAATGTGAATACCAATAACAAGTCATATACAACCTAGCCTGAATGTGCACTCTTGCTGTGATTGTGTGTCCTGCTGTGTCACTTGTGCAGACTTCAACCGTCTCAGAAAACCACACCAAACTGATGCGTCTGAGTGATGAATGTGGCAAGCTCACTCCCGTCATGTATGAAGGGTAAGTCCCTTCAACATGATATATACAGCAGTGAATAAGGGTCATGGTAGACACCAGACAGAGAACATGCGCGCAAGCACACATGCAAAACAGAGTAATCTGCAAGCGTGAAATCATCACTGACGATATGCAGAAAACACTGCAATGAAGAAAGCATGTTCTTCTCTTGTCAAAGTGTTGCTATTGTAAACTTGAAGAAATGTTCATAGTACGCGGCTCTGAAGCCCAAGTTGAATCAAGGTTTCCTTAAAGCACTGGATTTTCAGTGATAGGTCTAGAATTGCAGGACCGATAAGTAATTTTGAGCACTATTGTCTGTTCTCTCCTTGTTGTGATCATGGTAGCTTGAAGCAGTTGGAGAAGATGATCAATGACCTAAGGAGCACAGTGGCGGATCTCGAGAGGGATGAACGCTCGCACTCAACTACCGTTGCCTCTAAGTATGTTCGCTATGGATCGGGGGGGGGGGGGGGGGGGGGGGGGGCGTAATGCACGTGTTCTGCCCCCCCCCCCCCACACACATGCCTATCTGTCTCTGCTTTGCTACACAGAAGGTTGAAGATCGTTGTACCGAGAGATAACCGGACAGCGTGTAATCACTGGTTACCTCTTCCGTGCATCCTCTTTATTGGTGTAACTTTACACTGTGTAACGTTTGTGCTTTGTAGCCACAGTGCCCACAGTGCCCATCATGGGACATGGTGAGATGAGCAACCAGTCATGCAAGCAAATTCATGTACATACACCGGGTATGCATGCATACAATCAGGGTCATGTGACTGGAAATAGGGTCCCTCGGTCCTTGTCGTAGTACAGTACTGTCGGTCGCCGAAGAACTGGGGATCAGCCTCCTAGCCTAGACCGTTCTTATTTCCATGTATTACAGCCTATGGGCAGTTGAGTCACCGTGTGTACATTGGTATGCTGTGCTTGATGAAATTCTAGCCTGGCCGTTCTTCGGCGCTCCGTTCTCCGGCGCCTGACAGTACTGTAGTCATTTAGGACAGGTGGTTGCCTTGACAGGTTTCACTGTATATATGCGGGGTGGGTTGTGTGGTACACCAAGGGATCAAGACCTATGCACATGTATGTCGACATTTTAACCTGTGTCGTTCTCCTCTCTGCAATTCTGTCAATCCGTAGGACGAAAGAGCTGGAAGGCGAATGCTCAAAGCTGTGGTCGAAAATGCAGCAGCGATTTGAAGAAGCGGACAAGGCAATGGCGGACATATCGCGGCGTTTGGATGCCGAGAAAACGACAACGTCGGAGCAGCTACGTGCAATGGTAGATGCACAACAAAAGGAATTGGAGCAACTGGACAAGGACATCAGAGAGATCATGGGAAGCCGACTTCAGAGCTTGGAAGAGGTAAAGCAGTACATGTATCCGCAGTGCTTACTGAATTGAGTACATGTATCCGCAGTGCTTACTGAATTGAGTACATGTATCCGCAGTGCTTACTGAATTGAGTACATGTATCCGCAGTGCTTACTGAATTGAGTACATGTATCCGCAGTGCTTACTGAATTGAGTACATGTATCCGCAGTGCTTACTGAATTGAGTACATGTATCCGCAGTGCTTACTGAATTGATATGACTGTGGTAACTCAATGCATACTGGCTCAGCATATACTGGCTCTGTGCATACTGGCTCTGTGCATACTGGCTCTGTGCATACTGGCTCTGTGCATACTGGCTCTGTGCATACTGGCTCTGTGCATACTGGCTCTGTGCATACTGGCTCTGTGCATACTGGCTCTGTGCATACTGGCTCTGTGCATACTGGCTCTGTGCATACTGGCTCTGTGCATACTGGCTCTGTGCATACTGGCTCTGTGCATACTGGCTCTGTGCATACTGGCTCTGTGCATACTGGCTCTGTGCATACTGGCTCTGTGCATACTGGCTCTGTGCATACTGGCTCTGTGCATACTGGCTCTGTGCATACTGGCTCTGTGCATACTGGCTCTGTGCATACTGGCTCTGTGCATACTGGCTCTGTGCATACTGGCTCTGTGCATACTGGCTCTGTGCATACTGGCTCTGTGCATACTGGCTCTGTGCATACTGGCTCTGTGCATACTGGCTCTGTGCATACTGGCTCTGTGCATACTGGCTCTGTGCATACTGGCTCTGTGCATACTGGCTCTGTGCATACTGGCTCTGTGCATACTGGCTCGGCACATACTGGCTCTGTGCATACTGGCTCTGTGCATACTGGCTCTGTGTGTACTGACTGCGTCACCTCTGGTATTCAGTTTTTACTGCATGTACGACTAATATTTCCAGGTGTGAGTTACGATGCGGCATGGCAGTGCTGCGCTTTGCGAACATTGGTATGGAAGCACTCTGAAATGCTCTTTGCGTGAGGACAGCGCGAGCAAGTCTGAGAAGCCATAACCTCGACAGGGGTTCCCCTTCCAAACTATCATATCCTCAGCTAAACACATGAAACTGAATTACTGTCTTCAGTGGCAATCTCTACCTGTCCAGCAAACTGAAGGGGGAGATGGATCGTGTGAATGATCAGAGTTTCTTGTGTTCACTATGCACACGGTATAGGCGCTGGACAAGGAACGTGCAGGTCGTGTTCTCATCACTGCCGAGTGCCAGGCAGACATCAATGCAAGAAGTGAGCTGCTGCAGAATGAACTCCGCGAGCGGTTCGTCGAAGTTGACGGCTCGCTGAAGGTACGAATCCTGGTGATCAGCTTCTGAAGGCTGTATTACTCAAAAAGGACCTGGCCGCACGGCTGTGGGAAATTTAAAAGATACCGGTTTGTGAGATTGGCACAGTGGTTATGGGTTTTCTAGAAGCTCATAGTGCCTCTTCTTGAGTTCCAAGGATTTCCTAGCCCGTTGAAGAAACCGTCATTATGTGGAAACAGTTCTCTCAGGACTCATTCCGTACCAACATAAACTTAGAAAACGCGTTAAAGCCCATGCAATTTTCATCAACTTCTCTATTGTAAATTCCCCTGCTTCTGAATACATGTAGACGCATCGGCGAGTTGTGGATCAGACACTTCGGCAGTTGCACGAGAGCATCCGCCTCAACGACGAGCACATTGAGAAGGCGCAGCAAGGCATGGAGAGAGTAATCCATGCAGAAATTGAGACAAGGTAGGCACCTGGAATTGACAGAGTTTGCAAGATGTTTCGTGTTCAATGGACATTCTGTATGCTTAGATGTACTTGCGTGTGTGATGCATGAATAGCCCGCTTACTACCACAAGTTTGCCATGCTCCATCTAGTCGACTTATGCAGCATGTCTTTAGTATACAAGTAATTATGAGTAAACGTATGCTCTACTTCGTACTTCACTGGCAGGTGCGTGATCAAAGCAAATCCCATTCAGAAATATGTTCTTTTCACTACTGGCATGTTTCCCGTTCTTTCCCTTCCTTTTCTGGGTGCGTGGACTGTGCAGGAAAACCGAGGACAGGCGTCATGCCGATACGATTTCCCACATGACTCAAAAATTTGACACGGCTGCCAGCTCTGCCCAGCAGACAATCAATTCTTTGCAGGCGCAGATTGTGGAGACTCGTGAGAAGGTTTGTATACGTGAAAATATCTTTATTGACATGATGTATCCCAACTTATGCACTAGACTACCATTCCTCTGAGTATTCAATCCTTGCGCAACATGTATAGAAAGAAAAATAGTTTCAAACATAACCCATTGGCCACAGTCCGGCACCGCTGAATTGTTTCTACAGATCATGATGAATGCAGCATTTATTTCGAGATACATGTATGGCTGAGCACAGTGGCAAGTGATAAAAGCATAATTTGTCACTAAGTGTCATGTGTATATAGGAGAGGCATTGCTTGTACTTAGTATGTCAGAGGTAGTTTAATTTTAAATTTATCCAACACTCCAACACGTCGCTGCACAACATGGCTACAGTATGCCACTTGTAGTGCAGGCTTAACTGATTGACAGAACTTGTCAGTGCAACATCCATGTCATGGCCAGTATAACAAGGACGAACCCATTGAAGAGACAGGTGCTTACAGTATTGGAATCCTGCAAAGAACTGTTCTGATCTATCGGAGCTCATCAGTAGGCCGATGATTTTTGAAAGAATATTACGAAGCATGCAAGTTGATTTTCCACAGAGAGATTAGAGCAGGTATTTTAAATCATGCATGTGTCCAAGAGTGCATAGACGACATTCCGTCTGGCTCATCTTGATCACTTCTATGTATATATCGTGCCATGCACTTATTTTTTGTCTCTCCACCTTGACGTCCCATCCAATTGCATGCAGTTGCACTTGCAATGGAAGAGGGAGTTGTCCGAGCATCAACAGCAGGTTGACCGAAGTACTACGGACGTAGAAGCTCGGGTGACGACAATGGCGGCACGCATGAGTGCGCTGGAGAGCGGGTCAAAGGCTCTAGCAGATCAGGTATGACTAATGGAGTCTCACTGCGGGCAATACGTTACCACGGGTTATGCATGTATTGAAGTGTTTACTTCCCGGTGATGAAGTAAAGAACTGACACACAGCTATGGATAGTGTAAGATAGTATTGTTCCTTTTATGAGTACATATAGAAGAATGTATGGGACGTGTGTGTGGTCGGTCACAACGGGCAACAGTGGTGTGTAATCGCAGAATTAAATTTAACGAGTACATGTTAGCAATCTGTCTCGGTCTATGCTCGCCCTGATGCGCTAGGTAATTCGTGACCAGGAGGGAACACTGCGAAAGCAGCAATCACTTGTGGAGAACTGGCAGCAATCGACTGGAATGAAACTTCAGGAATTGTCCACCATTGCGGAAGCACTGCCATCTGAGGTAGGCTCCCAAGGCTGCCTATTTCATGCTAACATTAATTTTGTTCCTTAGGATACATGGTGCCAAAAGAATGGGTTTCCTCATAATTTATTTCCTCCAACCCGCACCCATTCTGATTTCTCCAGGTTGACTGCATACGTGTTGTCCTGCCTACAGGCCAACTATACTCAATAGACTGATGTGTGTGTGCGTGTGTGTGTGTGTGTGTGTGTGTGTGTGTGTGTGCGTGTGTGCGTGTGTGTGTGTGTGTGTGTGTGTGTGTGTGTGTGTGTGTGTGTGTGTGTGTGTGAAGCTTTGAAGTGAATAGCTGTATGGTGTAGACCAGGCTGAATAGTGACGGTCAATTCTTCAGCCTTGCAAGCTGTTGAATGGTGCAATCCCAGCACAAGTTGCTATGGCTTCTGCCGTAGCATTGCTATCATCGCCTCCGGCGATGGGCGTCAAAGGTCAAGGTGTGTGTGTGTATGTGTGTGTGTGTGTGTGTGTGTGTGTGTGTGTGTGTACATGTGCAAACATTGCCCCAAGGAGAATTACACCAAGCCTAAATGCTCCCCTGGGCACCACCAATTTTGGCTAAGTTCCCGAAACATTAGTTCATGGGTGATCAATATTTTGATGGTTGTGCTTCCAGCAGTTGCTCACCGTTCATTCTGTGTAGACATGGATACTGGTCGCTTTCTCCATTGTGTCCTCGGTAGGTGAGAGAGCTGAAGGAGAAAATTCTCACCGTGAACACATCGCTTACATCTCAACTCGAAACTGAACGGCAGAACAGGTCAGTATAGCCCGAAACTTAACTGAGCTAGTAAACAGTTATGTGCCACACATAGCCTGACTTATTATCATAGAATCACAACTAAGTAGGAGAAATGTACAGGAATTGTTTTCCGACCTAGGTATAGGTGTTCAGTCCTCCTTTCCAAAGGACGTTACGTGTGTGTGTGTCCTACTCTGTTTCCTGACCACCCAGGCTTCATGATCAGCACAGCGTCAATCAAGACATTGCCTCAAAGATGCCAAGGGTGCAGTTTGAGCGGCTGCAGAGTGATCTGACGACGCAAATGATGACGCAGGACAGCCGGCTCGCGAATGTAAGTAGTCAACAGTCGGCTCATTGTACACATCATACACTGTCTGCAATAAAGTCTACATGTTTGTACATGTAGTTTAGGTGATAACTGTCAATGGGTCAAGTGTAAATGCGTTTGGACTAGGGCTGAAACAATTATACCGATAACTCGCATATCGATCGTTAAGGGTGCAATCGATAATCGTTAGTGTTCAAAAACCAGTGCTAACGATTTATTATGCATGCATATCAGTGACAGTATTCAAGGCTATTTCTAGCCCTTTCACTCCATTCGATAGTGAATACGAGTAAAATCATGTACTTCCAAGCGCGGTAAAATTGATTTTGTGGCTTCGTTCATTTGTGTGAGAGGTCGGAGATAGGAGCAGTTGCCAGAGGGTGATGACAAGATTCTTTGTTCTAGAAACAACATGAAATTCTCTAGTTCTTGTTGATAAAACCAGGCAGATTTCCACAGATGTCAACAGTGCGATGCCACAAATTTCTAATGTAGCAAAGGTATCATGGAATTTCTTCATGAACTGGTGTACGAGGTACACGAGTAGAGCCGACAAGAATCGATAAAACCAATATATCGATCGTTAATGATATTGGTTGATCGTTAGGAGTTATTGAATGATCGTTTCAGCCCTAGTTTGGACCGTTCTTCATGGGCACATTATTTGACTTTTTTTACGCATCTTTGTAATGCTTACCAATGTGCTTTGTTTGGTACCTTTACCCTAACTGCTACTGCCCTGTCTGTATCAAGACATGCTTGCTGTGATGAACGTGCTGTTGCATTGTTCACTGTCCCGCATGTCCAGGCACTCAATCAGCTCAGGGAATGCGAGAACGCGCTCCAGCTGTCGCAGACAAGTATCGGAGGCAAGATCAACTCGGAGACGAATGCAGTGAGTTCCTGATCAGAGTTCTATCTAAATTTGACCTACCCGCCATAATAATATATTATACTCCCGACCATATTTACATGTACTTGCTCGTGTTACATGCACCGTGGTCTAATGCTTCGCTTTTCTATTCAAATTTCAAGTACATATGTACTTCGAAGTATGTACTTTAATCCTTGATACAATGAGGCATGGTGGTGACCTAGCATGAGCAAAACTCCTTTACGCAGGCTTTGTTTCCAAACACAACTGTCTAGCCAGCTCTAACGTGCATGTGAGAACTTTATTTGCTTGTACATGTATTTAACCCACAGGACCATTGCTGTCTGATGAGTGTTTTCACACGAAACTCCGAGTAACAGCGGAAAGAGATTTGTTAATCCACAAGACCAAATGTGCAGCTTGATATACACATGGAGCAACTTGTACGTCCGGATGTCCGAGGTTTGGGCAGGACTGCACTTGCAGTTGAAAGTGTTGGGAATGAAAAGTGTCGCCCCATTTTAAAAAAATATCTCTTGTTCCATTCTACCTTATTTGTGTCCTTTCAGCGTATGGAAGGTACAGTAGACCTGAACCAAAGATTGGCGAAGTTACGCGGTGAAGTGGACTTTCTCCTGCAACAGAACCAGCACCGTTTCGATGATGCTCTGCGGAAGCCGGTGCCCGTTTGGCCAATTCCGGTACCCATGGCAACTGCCCCAGCAGCTGCAACAGGTGCACCAGCAGCGCACTTTCAAGACGAAGCAATGGACAACCAAGCGTCTACTCACGCCGCTTCTAGTGTTGACGATCAGCTTCCGCCAAGGATTGAGATCACAGATGCACAAGAATCGACAACTAACCAGACAAAAGAAACTTCAGATCCAGAGATAGAGGATCAGGCGGCAAGCCAGAACACTCCTAGTTCACCTGTCCCTGGAACACCGGCTGGACAAGATCCTGGTCCGCTAGAGAAACCAGGCAGTGCTCTAGGTACGCCCTCGCCCGGGAGGCGATCGCGCATACCAACTCCGACCGGCGCCCTATCGCGTTCCCCGAGCCCCCGAGGCAGATCTCCGCATAGCCCTGTTCCACCGGGTCAGACGCCGTCACAAATCCCAAGACTGCAACGCACACCAACGCCGATGCCACGGGCAGGCCCCACGCCGCCCGCGCAAACACCAAATCCAGATGAAGGCACTCATGATTCGGCAGTGCCCGGCAATTTGCCTGTGCCGGGCGACACGAACATGGCCGATGCTCAATCCGAGCAAGGAAATGTGCGATCCGACAGCGCTGACCAGGATCCAGCATTTGTAAACCTCTTCGGCCAGGACATTGAGCCTCTCACACCTGGACCTGAGAGTGACTCGACCGATGAACGTCAGCCGAGTCAAAATGACGTTCCCATTGAACACCGCATGGTGTTTGTACGTCCCACTGGCGAGGAGGATGCGGAGCTGGCTTACCTGACGATCAACCAGTGGAGTGTGTACGCGGCACTGAAATGGATGGAGTGGAAGAAGAGGTTCATGCGGCCAATCGACCCACTCAGGACACCTACCCCGCAGATCGGATACCGCTGACCTGCGCAAGTGCAGGCTCGGCTATCACGTGCTATGTGACGTCACTACAAACAGGCATGACCGCCGCCGCGGGTATTGACGAGTGCCTTTTTTTCACATGTACTGGCCTGGAAGATTGTTTTACCGTTCATGAAGAAGAGCCTGGAGGCACTGAATCACCCCATCGCTACACTGAATGGCATTTTTTCAGTGCTGGGATGGTTTTCTATCGTTGGCTGAAACATCCGTAATTTGCTTGCACACAAACCATCGGCTGGTGATTTAACTCCTACAGAGACATGCCAGGAGTTGATCTCCTGAACCTCCACCATGTCGTTCACGTACCAACCGTTCTCCGATGTACTGGTAGTGCATGGGCATACCGTGTGTCCTCAAGATCATGTGATTCAAAGCTACTACTCTCCCTTCCTGCAGTCTTTCGTCAATTTTCGTCAAGTCCTTTGCATGTACATGTAGTTCGAAGTAGTTTGCCTTGAGCTTTCTCCAAACAGTTCTATTCCAGCTATTCATGCAACCTGTCATTCGAATCCCATTTCATCAACTGAACTTACTCCACCAGACAACAACGTGTTGTTACTCGTGCACCGCTGTCTAGTTTCCTGCGCATCATACGCTTGAGATGTGTGTGAGCAGTGTTGAAAACACGTTTAGATGGTTGTACTCAATGTGCGACAGTGCTGCCGTTTTAGAGTCACGGCAGGTACTTTGG